GGCGCAGTCGATAACATCAAGCTATAACGGACCATTAGTTACAAATCAACTTAGCGCCGAACTGACTTACCAAAATGCTCCAGCATGCAAGCTCGATGTTTTCATCGGGGTAAAGCCCTGCCTTAATCTTGACCACAGCTTGTGGCTCTCTGTTGTCCTTGCCTGGCTGGTCGATAATGTCGTCCATGTTCTTCATGGCATCAAACAGCTTTCCAACCCACATGCACTTCTCTTCGTCTGTGGCCGGAACTTCATCAAGGTGAACATTTCTAATCTTGTTCTTCCGACGTTGTTCCTTCTTTTTGTAGTAATCCGCCTCGCCCTTGACGATGGCTTGGTAGCCCGTGACAACGCTAGTTTTGGCAGGGTATTTGTATTTCCCCTCATTATCATAGTCGTCTCCATCGTCTCCATCGTCTCCATCGTCTCTGTCATCGCCATACTCCCCTGTATCGTTGAACTCTCCTGCGTCGTTGTACTCCGATGCCTCATCTCCGCTTTGTCTATCTTCTTGATAGCGTTGATCAGGATTCGGATATTTGCTTTCAGAGCCCTCATCATAATGGCCATCAGCGAAGCTGGGTGGCTGCTCGTCAATAGATTCAGGGGACTGGGAAGCGTATTGTTGGAGATGGGCACTTTGCTGAGACATGCCATAACTGGTGCCCCCATTGCCGAACAGAGCACTATGATGGGTGCGGCTGGCGGCATTCTGTGGATCTGTATTGAACGAAGGGCCCTGGCGGTGAGAGGAATGGTAGAGGTTCTGGTGATAGAGACCTTGGCTATGAGAGTTCGCGTTTTGCATGTCGACGTGGTTCATATCATTATAGAATGTGTTCGGGGTAAAGCCGGAGCTGGAGCTCGAAAGCATGTGCCGATGCTCGCCGTGTTGTACTTGCTGGTTGCCATAGTCATAGGGAGAGTACTCACTAAAGCTGGGAGGGCTGGACATGGGTTCTTGCTTGGGTAGTGATTCGCCCGTACCCGACGGAGCATGTCGCTGGCTATTGTTCATGACGGGAGGGGTATTTGACCACCGGTTTGTATTGCGATCCATGACTGAATGTGCCTCAGATAACTGCGGAGAGTAGTTGTCAGTGTCTAACGCCGTTGAAAGGGCGCTCAGAAATGAACGACTTGGAAGCGCGGTTACCTTAAGATCAAAGCCCTGTGTATGGATGCTTGGAAAGCTTGAATAGAAGTCGTACTTGATGTTGGTTCTCGTGGGGTGATGTGATGGCGTTTGGGACTTCTAGTCAGGAGTTAGAGGTTGAGGCTGAAGGGAAGAGGTGAATAGGGAGTAGTATTTAAGGTAGAATGAATATGGGACTCGGACAAGTGAGGCATGTGCAAGGAAGGTAGGTGCAAGGAAGAAGGCGGTGGGGGAAGATGGCATGTGAATTGAAAAATGTGAATTGGGGAAAGGTAGGATGGGGCAGAAAATGAAAGATACTATTGAAAAGTAAATTGTTGTATTGTGCTTTAGACAAAAGAAAGACAAGGACGAGAGCATGCTTGCTAGCAATGCAATGGAATGGAATGGAGCCATTTCACAGCTTGCACCGAAGAGTGTGACGATATAGATGACGGATATAAGACTTACAGATTGAGGGGAGCAAGTAGCAGATTGGTCAGAATAGCGCGGCTCTGATGGTGCAAAGTCAGCATGGTGGTGGAAGGATAATGCGGTTGGCTGGCTTGGGCATTTGGGCTGGTGGTGTGCATGTGGATGCAAACGCGTACAAGAGAAGACGTTGGACATACTATTCACAGAGTCGCGGTTTTTGAAGTTGGCCTTCTGTGGATCTGAAGTCAGCTCGAAGTCGCAACAAGAAAGCTAAGAATGTATGCAAAGAGCACACGTGAGTCCAAAGATTGGGCTTGATGACGTTCGGGAGATGAGCGTCTTCCTTGCGGACTAAGAGAATGAGGGACTGTGAAGAAAGCAAAGCGTACCTTTTGGATGCCAAACTACTATCTTGAAATGCAAATCTCCAAATGTCCGGAGTCTCTACACAATGCGCACGCAGCGGCGACAGTCTTAATATGGGGGTCCGGGAAATTGCAGTAGCAGCGTGTCCTAACAGACAATACTATGCTGGTATGAAAGGATGGATAGTAGACTGCTGCTAAAGCAAGTGGCGGGCTCGAAAGTTCTCGTTGTGGGTGGAGGAGAAAGTCAACAAAATGACTGTGCGGAAGAGGTCTTTTGTACCGGCAGCATCTGCCTCGCTTCGAAAACCATCACCTATCTGCCATCTGCCGCCCACCACCGGGCCATTTTAGGATAGGACGTGAGATGAAATTTCCTTAACATCCTCAACACAAAAGTTAGGCTCCTGACCTAAGACCTGAGCGTGGAACGGTATATATAACAATGTGTGTCCAAGACGCAAGGTATACCAAGGCCAATACCAAAATTCATAAGTGCTTACAAGTCATAGATTTATAGCAGCGGCTTTCATTGTATTGCTTCCGATTTGCACTTCGTGGGCAACGGCCTGCCATACAAGCTTCTACTCCCAGCAGACCTTTCATTTCAGACGAAGAGAGGCAATAAGCCAACGAAATATACGGTGGTAGTCTGAGGCTGAGCAGAAAGGCCACTGTCAAATCAACAAAAACGAGGACAACAGGAGCACAAGTGAGGTTTCGGTTGGAGGAAAAAGGACAGTTTGAAAAGGATGAACAAGAAAGGGCCCGCACAGATGCCTGGAATATCGTGGTCTGCTGGCTAAGGAATAGCCTTTGAGTCGCAAGTCAATATGCAAGCCTTATATGTATAAGGAGATATTTGAAGTGAAGATTTGACAAAGCGTTTTGACTTCAACGTCTAAAGTTAGCTCGAGAAGTCTCGGGCATCATGCTCAATACACCCGTGCTTTGACAACGCCACAAGCGTATTTTAGACCGGAACAACGCAAGGTAGCTTCGCTATTGGAGTGATTAGGTCGGTGCAATTATCGTGTTCGGGGATCGCTCGGAGAATTGCACCCAGCGGATGAAGACAACTAGCCTGAACATATTGAATTGCAAGTGCTAGGTAGTATCTGTCTGGTTTCTTCTCTGTTGGGCACTCTTGCATCTGAAACTGTCCTTACAGCGAGACGCTTGTAGTCAAGGACACCATGAAGAGTCTGTATAGACAAATGCGAAAAGAATGAAACGCGATCTCTATTTCGAACATGTAGTACTCTCAAGTGAAAAGGACCAAGAAAGAAGAAAATGAGGAAAGCACACCTCATTGGTGAAAGCTGCATATCGAAAGCATCGAACCAAAGCACTTTCAAAAGGGCCATCTACTGGTTAACTAGAAGCTGGTCAGTACCATTGATTCAATTCTTCGAGAAACATACCACGCTATGTCTTCTCCTAGAATGCTACCCGAGGTGACATTAAATCTAGTTCCTGTGTGGTCTCTTGTTTCTGGGTATATCAAGCTAAAAGTTGAGGGTTTTCTCATATGGGAGCGTCGTGTCCGTAGTCCACTGTCGTATGTCCTGGTTGTTGAAGTCAATGGAAGCTATTCAAGCCAAGATATATACACTAAGGTATTGTGAATGTGTGTTTTGATACGGCCAATCGTTGTGCCGTAACTTGAATTTACCGATATTCCATCGTCGAGTTGATGTGGCTTTCCAGCAGTAGGTTACGAGGTTTCACCACCCAAGAGAAGCCGAAGAATTGCAAGCTCCTTGCCTGGAGGCCAGACCAACAGTTTCAAACTCTTGTGGCAATAAGTCCCGTTATGGGTTGCAACTTGTTCAAGCAATAAGAGTCAGCGAGAGCAGGTCGGTGGTACTGGAATCGTAACTCACAAGCCGAGAATAATAGAAGACAGTAACCTATGGACGGTGAGTCAAAAATCAGATTCAAATGGTTATCTAGGTTTCTTATTAATTATAAAGTCAATTGAAGTACTTCAACAATGCTATTCAATACCTTCATACAATTGTAGTCAATGACGCGCCATATTTTTGGAGGTCTGGAAGCCTTTGCGCCACAAACGAATTGAGCAAGGAGGTCGACCATATAGGGGCTTAGATATACTAATAATATTGCCACGAGTTATGAAGCATGAAGTGCAATATCTCAACCGAGCTGGCACTAGAGGTTATATTGACAGCTGCTAGATCTTTACAAAGAGCTGTTTTGCACTTTTCGATCCTCTGGAAATGCGCTGTAGCAAACGCGAATGAAGACAGAAGCAGTTTCACGAGAAGACACGAGTACATATATTGCAATACTACGTCCATCAAACACGCTTCCATTCATTAAGCAAGAAAGGGAGCATAATCCTGAGTCACAGCTCTCGGAAAATTTGCTGTTTCAAAGACGGCGCTGGATGAGGGACACATTCCACCAGATCTCAAAGTAAGAGCATTCTGCTCTCGCACATAAGCCATTCACTCCATTATTCTTGGATGATCTCTTTGAAGTTAGCCACCAAAATGCACCAGACTTTCGAAAACCTTGAGCAAACGGAGAAAACGTAGACAACAACAGCCTATCTCACAAGAGAGATCCTTTATTGAAGATGTCTCCCAAGTACATAGAATCAAAATTTTCTATTCTCCTCGGTTCAGCATCCCTTTTCCTCGGGGAAGTCTGCACGGAAACTAAGATCTGCCTTGACCTCGCATTTCAAATACAAGGGTGATCATAGAACTTATGCCACCAATAGCAATACCTGCAGAGCTCACATTAAAACAACATTTGCAAAGTGGCAACTTGAGAAGCGTGAGCATAGCATTTCAACTGTGAAATTTACAGAGCTATCATGCTTCTAGATATTCGAATTGATATACAGAGTAGCTGGAACAAAACACAAAAGTGAGTGAAAGCAAAGGCATTAACAAGGCAATAACGAGGATAGTGACTTCAGCTGATGGTTATTCATTTTGGACGTTGTGAATTCGCGAAGCAAGATTCACCCATACGCCGTTTCACCTGCCGATCCGGAACGCCATAACCTTAATCCGAAATAGACCACGTGATCACCAATTCCTCCGGCCTCCCCTCCCTCTGCCAAAGTTTCCGCCACGATTGTTACCTCCTTGACCCTGACCATAGCCATAGTCCATCTGCTGGCCTTGGCCTTGTCCAAAACCCCCCTGGCCTCCAAAGCCCTGGCCTTGATTCCCACCTTGAGCGCCTCCATTGCCTCCTGCATTGGCACCGCCTTGCATAGCAGCAAACATCGCAGCTGGATCCATTTGACTCGGATCCATTCCCGAACCCATCATTTGCATCATAGCCGTCTGCATCTCTGGCGTTATGCCTTCCATTGACGGCATAGCTCCTCCCGCACCAGCAGGCATTCCAGACATGCCAGGCATACCTCCCATAACCATGAGGTTCATATCATCGAACATCTTCTTCTGGTTTTGCGCGATTTTGTCTTGGTTGAATTCCGACCGTATCGCCTCTTGTTTGCTTGCATATAGAGCCCACGTAAATTCGTCGAAACCGTAGTTGAAGTAGTCGCTGACGTCTGTACCAGGCCGACGCCATGGCTTCTCGTTCTCATTTAAATCTACAATTGATCAGCATAATATCTTCTCCATCTCTATTGACCAAAAGACTTGCCTTCGTCAATATTGATTTGTGTAATGCGCTTCCCCGCAGGCTCGTAGACTGGCTTTGCGTCAACATCGATTTTAGAGGTTGATACACCAGGTAAATCTGCCCCAGAGACTGTTGGAGTGGCCTTGTCCTTGGATTGCTTCTTGCCGGCAGCAGGTTTAGCAGGCGCATCGCCCGAGGTGGTTCTTTGAGGTAAATCTCGAATATTATTGTATTTCGACTGACTGCAATTGATTAACTCTGCTGAAGTTTGCGCCGTGGTTATACGTACGGAGCAGGGGCAGGTTTGCTACCATCTTTTCTCTCCGTGATAATATCTATGTCCTGAGAACATTGTTAGTATCGGCTGTAAAATATATTCCCAGACCTGACGTACCGAATCACTGCCCTCTTCATCCCCCTCATCCTCCTCCTCGCCCTCTTCTAGATCTTCGTCTTCCTGTATGGGTTTGGGGTCTGGTTCTTGGGCGGCCTCGGATTGCCCCTGCTCGATCTCTGCTTTTGCACCTTCGGGCGCATAAAAATCCTCATCATCACTCATCTTGAAATTGCGAAAATCTATGAATGAATCTAGAAGCTGGAGCTCTCTTTGGTTGAAGCTCTCGGAGCTCTGACGCTTAGCGCGATCGCGGATTATTTTTTGAGCGCGTGCGGAACATCACATTCTCAAGCGCAGGTCTCAATCCGAAACTCCACCTGAAGCTGTTGGTAGAATAGTATGGCACTTGCTCGATCTGCCAGTGGACCTGGTGGATTAAGCATCAACACGAACTCTGCTAACTCTTTATTGTGAGTTTTCCCCTTGCTTACGCGTCAAGTCATTTGAATTTTGGAGGGTTTTGGAGCACAACTGACAATGCCTTCTAGCGGATCAAGCACGCCGGCACCCGCAGGAGGAATGTTTGGAAGTACGGCCGCAAGTAGGCCCGGGGGAGGGCTGTTTGGCTCGTCGACGGCGGGAACGACAGCTCCAGCAGCAGGTGGTTTGTTTGGAACTGCTTCAACTGGTACCTCTCAACCCCAGACAGGAGGACTATTTGGATCAACAAACACCACTGCAACCTCTCAACCACAGCCTAGCGGATTGTTTGGATCTACTACTACGAGTTCACAACCAGCTACTGGGGGGTTGTTTGGTTCTACAGCTGCGGCGCCTCAACCAGCTCAAACGGGAGGATTATTCGGATCAACGGCCCCTACATCTCAGCCTCAAGCTGGTGGATTGTTTGGATCGAGTACGGCGCAACCAGCTCAAACGGGCGGTCTTTTCGGTGGAGTCAATACCCAAAACAAGCCAGCGACAACCTCATTGTAAGTCTCCCTCACAACAGGACGGAAATCCAGCTAACGAATTCGAGTAGTGGCCTCGGTACGCAGACTCAACAACAGACTCAGGCCCAGCAACCCTCCATGTTTTCCTCACTCGGACAGAATACGAACCAGAATCAACAGCAAGCGCAACCCTCTGGTCTCTTCGGCGGTGGCCTCTCGCTTGGGCAAAATAATGCACAAAATCAACAGTCAGTCCCTGGCGTGCGAATAGACCTTGGCAATCTCCGAGGCACCACTAGATTCAACGACCTGCATGAGGACCTCCAAAAAGAGATAAGTCGTATGGACAATATTATCCAAGGTCAAATCAAGCTCAAGAATGACTGCGAAGCCATCATGCCTTCACATGACCGTCAGCTTGCGCAAATTCCAAACGATGTAGACTTTTGCAACCGAAAGCTAGTTGGAGTGGAAAGTGCCGCGCTCTCAGACGTCAACGCCATTTCCCACGTACGAGAATTCGTCAAAAGGGATATTGAGCACGCAAAAATGAGCTTCAGAGCCATTGATAACCTCAAATTACCACCTCAGTACCATAATACGGGCATGTGGGCGACGAAGGCTCAAGAAAATCGATCATCAGCTAACGGCGAAGACGAAGGAGAAGACCTCGTTGGGTTCTTTTCAACGACAGCCGATGAACTCGCTGCTACTCTCACCAAGTATCAAAACAACATCACGGAAATTGAGCAGCATTTGCTGAGTGTTGAGGCTACCAGCGCGCAACAAATCAGCGCATTTGTTGCTAAGAGAAGTGGAAGTTCCGGCAGCCGAGACGATCCAGTTGCAGAATTGGCTGCAGCATTACGGGAGTTCGAACAAAGTATTCTGGGCGTTGCAGGCCAGGTTGGCAGTGCGAGGGAAGGAGTCCAGACTCTTCAATTGGGAGGATTCAACGCAAGCACGAATGGAAAAAACTTTAACGGGAAGAGAAGTGGTGTGTATTAATGCGCATACTGGAATTACGGATGTACGGAATGCGTTATGATGTATAGGATGGCGTTTGGTGTTTGGCCTAGGATTGCAGAAATGATCCAGTGCCGGATTAACGTACCAAAAAGCAAACCTTCTTTCGACGAGCCCCTTAGGATATCATAATGGTGAGACCCAAGTTAGGTCCTTTGATTATCTGTGCTTGTGGCTTGCTTGAATGCACTGGGGGACACCGAATGAACCAGGGGCAAGGTCGCCCATATTTTCGTGATGTGAACTTGGTTGATTCATCCTTTAAAGCGAATTCATAATTTTCCACAGTGGGCTAGAATCAGCTGCATACAAGTAAGTCGCGCTAGGTTATTGTATTCCCTGTTGTATACTGCGCCTTCATTCTGCGAGCTAAATTTCCAATGATTTTTGTGCGCGTGGCAGATAAAAGTATTATATGTTCCCTTTGGTTATAGATAAACCTTTACTGTCGGCAGCCGATGTTGTCTGGCCCCATGCGCCACTGTTCAGCTCGGTACATGCCGTGATTTCAAGAATATCATATTCCGGGACGCGGAAGTAAGAGGTGGACCTGGTGCTTATAGTGTTGCAATGCGTTATATCAAACCCAATATCTCATATAAGTTGAGAGTTCAAAGGGGTAGTAGTGGCAATCACGTGTCCATTACCAAAAAAGGAGCATGTTCAGCCTCGTCCTTACAATCATTACCCAACGCATCTGATACATATGGGTCAGTCACTCGGTGCTGCTTTCATCTTTTGCAAACCAAAGCCTGCGGACGCCATATTTCCGAGCGGTACCTCGAGTGCAATGTCGAGCTCTACACTTGCGGGTTCGGTCGATGTGCAACCTCCTTCAACGAGGAGTGATAGTAACCTTGATGAACTGAGAGAAATCCTAAGAGACCTCACGGAAACAGCCACTTCTGGCCAACTGCCGGAACCTCCGGAATTTCAGGATGACAACGAGGGCTACTTCACGCCTCCGGAACATGCTCAATCACAGAGTGCTGGACAAAGCGGTGGGCAGAGTAATGAGCAGGTATATGGGCAGAATAATAACGGAAGGAACAATCCTTCGCCTCTCGCTGACGAGTCTTCGGAAAGCGATTTAGAAGACGAAGATCTTACCCCTCTCGAGTACGCACGCTACCACGGGTTATCCCGCGACCCTCTCACAGATCCCCATGCCTTTGACCACATTGAAGCGCTTCAAGCTGATATCGTGGAGGACATCATCGATGATTTTCTGCCTCAATTTGATTTCGGAGTAGAGCCTCGATTGGATGAACGTCTCACGGTTTCAAAAGAAGCTTTACAATTCCTTCAGTCGGTAGCCCACCGGGATACTCAAACTTCAATTGACGCTCTCATTCTACCGATGCTTGAAAGGCCGGGTGTCAAGAATAGCAGGTTCGAACTTCCTTTATTGAAGACCGATCATGAGACCGATTGTAAGCACTTTGCGCGATGGGACGGCTTCGAGATTAAGTTGAAGGATGTGAAGTTCCCATTGGAAGTAGTAGACGATGAGAAAAACGAAGGGATCAAATTTCCGTCGTCGTACTGGAAGCTAGGAGATGGGATTATGGAGGAGTTGAAGAAAGAAAAGATTGAGGTTTCTAAGAGTACAATGTCGTTCCTTACAGAGGCATTGTCGAATGTCTGGACAAAAGAGGACGACGACGAATTGTGGCAAACTGAAATGAAGTACAAGAGGGTAAATCCATGAGTATATCATTGATGAATGGAAATTATTAATGATGCGTATAGAATACTGCATTGGAGCCAGTAACTCCTCCCCTTTTCCCGATGTCTCCTCCTTTTAAACCCTACGAACCATCACCATCATCGCCTACATTTCAGCTTCACGCGCTTTCAGATCCTCCGTCTCTTATCCAAGAGGACCTGGAATCCATGGAAAATGTCATTTTTCAGCAAGATGTCCCTATCCCTATTCGCGATGCCACACTCAAAACTATCCCTCCAGATGTGGATGATTATTCTTCGTCCGACACGTATCCAGGAAATGGAACTGTAAAGTTGGCGGATATCTATTCCCCGATGGCGTCCTTGGAAGGCGAGACCCCGCCATCAGGTAAGATAAGCAGGCTTTCTATCTTTTCATTGTTCCTGTAATTTTGTGAGCTTTTGCTTCGATAGCGTCCCAACTCTTGAGACGTTGCAATGTTCACTACCTACGTTGAACGAGTCTTGCTAACTATGGGTTTCTTGTAGTCCATACTCAGAGGTGCAAGCCGGACGACCTTAAAGTGGAAGGCCCTCTGACTCCTCCGAAACCTATTATGACCGCACCAAAAGCCGTTAGGTTCAGTGATTATGTTGAAGATATGGAGCTCGACGCTCCAAGTCCAGTAGTCTACCCATCCGCGGAGACTTTCTTCAATGATGCCTTTGCGGAAGCAGCTGAAACGGTGAAGCAGCAGCTTGAGCAGGAGTCATTGGTGAACGCCGATACAACAGCACGAGTGGAGGTACAAAAGATAGAGTCGGTAGTCACAAAACCGCCATGGCAGAAATTCCAGGATTGTAAATCTTCGACCGAACTTCTGGCGTTGCAAATGGAAACCATAAGATCTATCTCCGACTCGAAGCAACGCAAATGGACGGGAGTCAAGTACTCAAATATTCAAGAGAAGCTTCGTTACAACCCTTTCCCTCACGACTTGGCCAAAGTTGCGCTTGAAGAAACATTTGAAGGCAGTGATACGATGTGGCAATCATTTGTGGAAGATGCCAAGGGCGAAGACATTATTGATAGCTCCAATCTAACCTGGAAGCTTCCCGGTTTAAGGATTCTGACTATCGACGAGGATGATGATGACGAGCTTGAGCCGGCAAAGTTCGTTACAGATCATCCTAAAGACATGTATTCCCTTGTCAAAAAGCGGAAGCTGGAGCTTGACGATAATGGTTACACTGGATCAGCCATGCAGAAGCCTCACACCTTTCTAGACAAAGGAGCGGAGAGTACTTTGCAGACAATGCAGCCACGGAGGAGGTTTACACGACCGCCAAATGACTTGGTTATAACGGCACAGACGATGCAGCTTGATCGATCAGAGAATCCCGGGTTATTATTGGGGGGTCAATTTTCAGCAGAAAACATGCTTGGCAATTTCATGGAACTCCGAGGAGTAAAGAAACCGAAGCTCATGGACAGCTCGTATTTTCCCAACAGAGCTGTCAATGCTACCAGTATACCACGAAATCCAACACCAACTATGTCTGCACAGGCTGCACAAGCACCTGATGCCCAACAGACCCTTCGACAATCACTAATATCGAAGCATACTTTCCTGCCCGCTCCGATTGCTATATCCAGGGGTGCTCAGAGCGCCATAGTCTCTTCGACTCTTTTCGGACAGAGAGCACTAATCAAGCGTCTCGAGACGATCCTTCCAGATCTTACACTTGTAGAGCGCAACTTTGCGGCCCACAATACCACTGCTTGGATGCCTGGCTCTGTCACGCGCTCGCCAATTACTTCTCCCTTGGACTCAGATGCTGATGTTATCGTCTCCGCTTCTACCGGAGTAATAATTACGACCCTGCAAAAGATCAAGCAAAAGCCACTCCCTGGCCATAAGACCAAAGCAGAGATTCGCGCTCGGTTGGAGAAAGTCAGCCTCCGGTATGAGAAACTCGTTGTGTTAATCACTGAGGGACGACAGGACGAGGAAACGAACGGCATAGATGAAAACGATTGTCTAGCATTAAGCGAATTCATGGGATTTACGGCTGGTCTCGTGGCAGTAACCACTGTACAGTTCATCGGTGGAGGCGAACAGACATTAGCAAAATGGCTCGCGAGCATTGCGGTTCAGAACTGTATGGTTGATAGCACTGAGCTCCTACCCGAAGAAACATATTGGGAGTTGTTCTTGAGGCGAGCGGGTATGAATGCGTTTGCCGCTCAGGAAGTTATTGCGAAGTTGAAGGCCCCGGATGGTGTTGATGCTACGAGTCCAAGCAAGGCTGGCCAATTTGGTTTGACTGCTTTTGTGGAGATGGGGAGGGAGCAGAGGATTGCTAGATTTGCTGGAGTTTGTGGCAGGGGTGTTCTGGAGAGAGTAAGTGATGTTGTTGATGCGAAATGGGATTAGAATGTTGCGAGTCGGGACAGGATTGCTGGATTTGTTGGTACGTGGATAGATACCCTGTTGCTGATTTGCTGATGTGCTGGATCTGGACATTTGCTTTATATCATGCTAGGTAATGGCCATATGTGCTTCATATAGCTGAAATAAATGTCATAAACTCCATACGTTTAAACTATTATCAGGGGCCGTGGAGGTCAGCATTGGTGCTTGATTTGAAGTAGCACTTTCGCTCTTAGATTCTTCATCGGAACAGCTTTCATCCGAGTCCTCGTCCGAATCCTCGTCCGAACTGCTGTCTTCACTACTACTCCCGCTGTTATCAATCATAGGTGTAGATCTTTGGCCGGAGCAAGTAGCTACAACCGTGCCAGAATTATGGACAATAGTCGAAGTCACAGGGTCTGCTTTCATTAGCATATCTTGGATCATCAATACAAGAATAGACTTACCATCATGAGCCTTCCACTCCCACGACCTCTCCACCGCCCCCCTCACTTTTCTCTACGCCCTCCCAAACCCTCACCATCCCATCAATTCCCCCCAGCCCAAACCTCCAAACCTCCCTCCCCCTCGAAAATATCCACCCCCAACCTCTGATTCGTCCACGCCTCCCTACCCTCCAACCACGCAACCACCTTCCCAGTAACCCTAACATCATAAACCAACAGCCCTCCACTCTTCCTCTCAACCACACACAGATACCTCCCACACCTACTCCAAACCGTCTGCGTGACCCCTCCTCCTCAACCCCCGCATGCTGATCCGCAGCCTCAGCAACACTCCACTGCGCAACCGTGCCCCCCATGCCATTAGCATCATAAAGCCCAACCCACCTCGTCCATGTCCCCGCAGCCAGCATCCCAGCATCCTCGCCCTGCATACCCAGTGCACTCACAATACCACGCATGCCTACCCCGCCCCCCTTCATCTTATGCCGCTTGCTCGGAATAGTAGGCAGCCTCGTCACCGGCCCCTGACCATTCCTCTCTACATCGAATAGCGCGATTAGGCAGTCTGTTCCTGCTAAGAATGTTGACGGGGAGGACCAGAGTAGGGAGGCCGGCGTGTAGTAGGCTTCGGTGGTGGGGGAGATGAGTGGGTAGGTTGCGGTGGGGGTTGTGCTCGGGTAAAGGGCGTTCAGGAGGCGGGTGGGGAGGGAATTGGGAGTCGATAGGTAGAGAGTTGTGGACGGCTCGGTGAGCGTGAAGTGTGGGTAGGGGGCGACGCAGTTTATGGAGGTGGGATGTAGATGTGTTGTGTAGGGTGTGAGAGTCTTAGGGGAGGTAGAGGAGAGCAGGTCGGAGGGAACGACGAAGGTGCGGACGCTGTTGTCTGCGCTTGAGGTGAGGATGCTAGTTCCATCTGGGGTCCTGGAGGTTGTCAATAGAGGTACTTGAGCTTGATGGGGAGTACTTACCATTGAGCGCATTTGAAGAAATTTTGTTCTGCATCTTCCTCCCTAGCTTCTACAGCTAGTTGGAGATGTGAGGAAGCAGGAGTGGGAAGAACAGGAGTGCAAAGGCTCTCTTGTCGAATTCTAGACTCTGCAATCGAGCAACAGTATGTGTGTCCCGTGGAGGCTACGATTTTGGGTGTCTTTGGCTCCATTCTCGGGGCAAGATCCCCAAGTCTGCTCCACATGTCTTCCCAGGTCCAGCTGGGTTGAGAAATGTGATATTTGAAGTTTGGAGAGTTGCATTATGAATGTCTCTTGAAGAGTTGTAAAATCAAACGATTAGATAAAATCGAGGCAATTGCCGGTGGTCACCGCTTTCGGCACGTGCCACCGCGTCGACGCGTTTTGAGGGGCAACGCTCATCTAATCTAATTTTTGTTTGCTTTTTCTTACTTCAACACGTTTTAAAGCCAAAGCATTTCACCTTGTCCTAACCGTCAAGTCTCGCATGAAACAAAAAGAGCAGTTGAAGCTATTCCCATTCCCAATCTCGACACAATGCCACCAAAAACTGCATCCAAGAAGCGTCCCCGCGCTGAATCTAGCGCTGCTGATACCAAGCCGCTCCATTCATATTCCTGTCCCCGGACTCAAGCCTGATACTCGCCTCAAGGTCTTCGAACAAGAATTTCATGTTCACTCCACCATACTCAAACTTCACTCTAACTACTTCCGTCGATTTCTCGATTCTCCCGACAAAACCGGGGCTCCTGCCGCGCCACTCTTTCAATTTGAATATGTATCCGTAGTGGACGAAGACAGAACGTGGGCGCTGGACCCTATTGAAAAGGTAGAACCTTCCGATAATTTCCTCCAAGATTCTTAGATACAATCATCCCCCCAATGAGCAATGACAAAGCTCTGGTTTATCAGAAGACGACAAATGTCTAGACTTGAAGAACGCCATCCTCAATAGCCAGAAGTCCCATCCCATAACAATCTTCGCAGCAGATACAAATCTCTGACCATCACTATCGAGTCTCTCCTTCTTCTCCTCACTACCCAAAAAGCCCGTCAACCCTTCCATATCAGCGAACTTGATTGTCGTAATCGCATCATATTCTACAAACGCACTCTTGGCGGTCTCTTCGTCGATACCAATGCCCAAATCAACGCTGAATAGCTCTTTGCACAATGATCTGTTGGCGGGGGAATTGAATTGCTATTGAATCAGTATTTTCAGAAGTTTGCGAGTTTGGGAAAGACCAATGACTATACCGCGTGATAATAGGTAACACCATGTTTCATCAAGATTGGAGCTGCCATTTCGACGTGCTGTTCGCATTCGATCTGGAACTCTTCGAATGTGAGGCTGGCCTTGCGTGTTAAGAGAATTGTTAGAGTTGGGCCGTTAGAAGTGGCCATTTTGAAATGTGAATTGGTGAAGATGGTGATGGACGAGGAAGTGGTTGCTTGGACTTGGAAATTGGAAACTGAGAAGCATTGGAGCTGCTTTTACAATAAATACAGTCCAGATAGGGTGGTCTATTCAAGGTCAATAATAATCCTTGGTAGTACCGCTTTCTCTGTCCATGGCGAGCTGGGCTGGTTATCCCAATTAGGAAATCAATACAGTCTTGGCATTTTGAAAAGGGCATGGAACTTTTCAAAGGTGTTCCCATCTGCTATTAGATTGCCGTTCAAAGTTGGAATACCTTTACCTTGTAGTCAGCTTGAAAATCCCAGTGTTTATGTCTGCAAACAAGCTTGCAATTCAGCAAGCAAATGTAACAATTGCTACCTTAGGTATGTTACAAGTACCTACGACGCTCGTTTAACAAAAGGGGGTGGCGAAAGGGGTTCGGTAGAACACCGGGATCTTCCTAGTGGCCCACTTCCCCACATAACACTTGTTGACGCCCGTGGAGCTGGGAGTCCGCGTCTAGCAACACCCTTATTCACGACGGCAGCATTTTACAAATCCGACATCGAAAAGATACCTATGTCGCCATAAAGAGCGTTGTAATAAATGACATGGACATGGACTTCTTCTACGATTCAGCAGACGATTTAGCCACCAGCCGCTGTGAGGCGCTCAAAGATCCCAGCTATGTGAACCTTGCCTTGTCAATGTAAGCTCTCACAACTCTTCATAACCGGCCAAACTGACAAAGCAATAGCTTCATCCTCCTCGGAATCCTCGTATCCTACCTCCCACAGCATTATCGAATTATCGCAAGAGGAACATCCGAAGGAATCTCCCCCTATTTCATCCTACTAGGAACTACCTCCGGAACATGTGCGCTTGCGAATATCTTGGTCCTTCCAGTCTCCCGAGCAGATGTAGCATGCTGCAAGACGGTCAGTCCGTTTGAGTGTATGGCTGGTCTTTTGGGTATTGCACAAGTCGGGATACAGTGGTTCTGCTTCACTGTCATGTAAGTGGTAGCTCCGGATAGGTGGAATATAGTTGCTAACACCCCGAAATAGTCTCTTCTTATTCCTCATCTTCTTCCCCAGAGGTCCAGCCCTCCCAAACAATAGCAAGGAGAACCAATACACATGGAAAACCGCCGTCTCGGTCGCATTTGCCTGCTTACTATGGGGCCTGATCATCATTTTCGTCAGTGTCGGCTTAATATTCGCACGACCATATCAGCTGGGTATCTGGGCAAATACTCTGGGTATTACGGGAACGGTACTTGCTGCTATACAATACCTACCACAGATATGGATGACGTGGAAGCTGGGGGATGTAGGGAGTCTGAGTATTCCCATGATGCTTATTCAGACTCCTGGCAGCTTTGTGTGGTCTGGGAGTCTGGCTGCAAGATTGGGATGGGCAGGGTGGAGTATTTGGGGGTTATTTCTTGTTACCGGGTGTCTGCAGGGATGTTTGTTAGTAATGGGTATCTGTTTTGAGGTTAAGGCAAGACGGGCGAAGATGAACAGTGAGGAAGAAGTCGTAAGTCATGTTGTGGGTCTCGAACTTGCTGGAAGCAATGCTAAATTGAAGCAGCACTCAAATGCCAGGTGCATTGTGGGCTATATCCAAACCGAGGGAGATTCTATCGAGACGGATGATGAAGGGAACGCAGAGGTAGAAAATGAGGGCACAGAGAGACAACCGCTTATTCCAGGGAAGTCCTCTCGGAAATCGAACGGGGGCAAACTGTAGGATATTGATTTTGGTTAACTAAACATCGTAAATCAAAATGCACCGCACCAAATTGGCAACGCAGGTACAAACTCAAGATTCTTGTTTCCGAGGATTTCACCGTCAGTGCGAATCTCTAATTCAGTTCCGGTTTTCAGGTAAGTCATTGGGCTTTGTCCTCTATCACACCTGTGCCTTTTTTACCTCCTTTATATCTAAGAGTTATAGAGAATGACCGGTTTTCTGGCATCGAACGACAAGGCTATTTAGTCCTTTGGTTTGTTTTCAGACTTTCAGGATGTTATGATGGTTGTAGAAGGACCTTTGACATTTTGAGGTCTCAACCATCGAGACGAGCGCACAGTACTGGAATTCCACTTCCATCCTCCTCAACCCTGCTCTACCCATAAACCCTCCTCGGCCAAATATTCATCGCCGTCTTCACCCCGCCTCTCAGCGGCAACCCCGCATGCTGCACCCTCTCATCCCCCGTTCCATTCGCATGCAGATTAACCCAAAACACCACACTGCCCCTCCGTGGCACAAACGCCGTTCCTCCATCTTCATGATTCCTCCACTTCCCTTTCCCTTCTCTCCCTCTTCCGGACTCAATATACGGGAACCACGTCTCGCCTCCCACATCACCACCCCCCTTCTTCAAACCCACCTCAGTCTCAGTCTCAGACTCAGACTCAAGCTCAAGCCCATCCAAATACACAAAAAAACTCGCTACCCGATTAAAGGCCACCCCCCTCCTCCCGCCAGGCAAAGGCTGCGGCGCAGGATACCAATCATAATGCAGATCGAATTTCCCACCTGGCGCGTACCGCACTATCTGTGGGGTGCCGAAATCCTCTGTGGGTGCGAGAAGAGCGGGACCGAGGAACGAGCGTGCGCGCCCTAGGATGCACGATACGGCGGGTGTGGAGGGGGGCAGGGCGCCGGAGAGAGAGGTGCGGGCGCGGTCGGGCGTTGAGTGGAGGGAGGTGGAGTGGTGGAGCAGGGAGGGGGTTAGGTTTGGGAGTCTGGGGAGGATGGTAGGTAAGTACAGGTAGTGTTAAGGAGAGGGGAGGATGAATTGTGGAAAGAGGGAAAGAAAATGAAACGAAAGGAATGGGAAAAGTGGAAGTAGAAGTGGAAATTAGAGATGCAATACCCAACGGCGATGATCGCTTCTGCTTCGCGTGCGGAAATGAAGTTATTGATGTATATCAGCAGGGGATCCGTAGAGATTATCTCCGTGGTATAGTGATGGTCCTCACACACAAAGTCCGAGGACATCAAGCCGTCTCCCCATGGCGTGTATTTCGAGCACCATCTAGTCAAAATATCAGTATCAGTCAATTGAGTCCTACACGATTTACTACAATCAATATTCCAGGAGTGACTAGCTGACTCTGGAACAACCGCCCCCAAGATGTTTGAAAAAAGAAGATCCATATTCCACGAGAAAGTCAACTCACAAAAAAGCTACGAATGCCGCGCAAATGGCCGTTATACCCAAAGCTGTTTTTCGGGTTGGTTTATACTATACGCATTTTCATTGCGTTAGTAATCCCAAGGTGATCATAATTCACGGGGGGAAACTTCACTCTCACTCACCATATTGATTCATTCATACATTTATAACTACAGAAATAATAATCCCCTTCCCAGAAACTGCGGATAACCTCTCCCCATATATTGCCGTTACAAGAAACACAAAGTACTGTCTACCTAAGGTATTCGAGCCATCTCCTCTCCCGGGAAGGAGCTCCGATGTCAGCATTGATTAACTGGTGATATATTTCGGCGACGAATAAAAGAACTCTCCAAAAATATGCCTAAATAGGAGGTGGCAACACCCGAATCCCTCATCACAAATTCCTAGGATCGTCATTCGTGCATCTGGAGAACCAAGTATATTAACTGAGTGTTCTGGCTATAAATCAAAATGCGGGGAAGAAATTGAGCTTTGTGCAACCACATGGATGGTGTGCAAATGAAGTTTTAATATATAATAGCACCCTTGATTGCCGAAATGTCACATTAATATTTTTGTATTGAGAGTTCATTAGCTATCTCTATCTAGGAACAACCTCTCATATTATTTGTGCAGTAAAACCAATGCGAGTGAACTTTTTTCTCTTCTTTGTAAATACCGGATTAATCTTTTGACTTGAAAAGAAGGGCCGCCGAATGAAGAGGGGGCATCATGTGAGAAAGGAAACGTGAATCCAACCATGGGATCTCTGGAACTTAGCCGACAACCCGTGCCAGATATGCCAAGTCCGTCACAGCTTATCTTCGCATGCAGATATATCTGATGCTAGATTCAGAATAGTGACGAATCCCGGTTTCATGCCATTCTACCTTATTTTTTTCCGTCGCCAAATGTTTTCTCTGTTTCCCCGAATTCACGGTCCATGAGAGCAGTTTCGGCTCGCTCCTCGGCATCCGGGTCATCCTCAGTTGGTGGTGGGCGGTCATTGAGAACTATGCTGCGTCAGTACTGCAATCTTTGCATCGGAAGGAAAGCTTACCAGGCTCCTTCCAACCATTTAACTTTTCATTTTCCAGGTAGGTGTGGAACGAGCAGTAAAGACCAAGGATCCGATCAAAGAACTTGATACCAATGTTCAATTCACGAACGACAAGCTCCAACTTCAGACCTGGGTTCATCAGACGAAGGATATCATCTTCGAGCCAGAAGGAATCGATTCGTGATTCTTTGGTGGCCTCCTCATGCTCCTCGTCATCTGACATGTCCTCTGGATCTAATCCAGGCCCCTCCCACGCTTTGACCTTCATGATTCCCAAAGGCTTGATGTTGCCAGCCACATCAGTATGGTCCTTGATCGTCGCAACCTCCGAGACAAATTGGGTAGATGCCCGCTCAATCTCTACAACTTCATAGGCCTTCGTTTCAGTCTTGATAATGTAGATACCCCCGCTCTCGGCCTTTTTGAATAGATTGTCACTCCCCTTGAAAGCGAGGGCAGAGTTGAAGATTCGCGTCGCTTGTGCACCAGAAAAGCCAACATTAACGGCAGCATGCTCATTTTGTGGGTCATTGTCCGACTGCCACGCCTGAGTCGCGACAAATACGCTTTGGTAGAAACCGCCGCAGACAGTCGAAGCCGCAATGTTGAAATCTCCAGGCAGCTCAGTTCGGAAGCTCTTGATGGCCATCAAGTCCTTCTCAGCCAAGTCACAGATTCTGCGAGCAGCCATAACATCCTCAATGTACTCGGGGCAGACATTGTGCTGAAGAACATAGTTCAAGAAGTTTCGGATGACTGCAGAAGCTAAATTGATTTCTTCATCAGTATCCGCTCCAATTCGATTAGGGATAATGCGAGAGCTACGAAGTCAGCAATCCAAGTACCTCAGGTGGGGTATAATTGAAGTTGGGTAGAGCTCGGAATAATGAAATGAATTTGTGATAAGCAGCTCCAATATCATGGTGATGTGAGAATGGGCAAGAACTTACAAGAATCCCTTTGCAATTCCCTCAAAGTCAACAACCCAGTTTTCTGCTTCATTCGGATCGTAATACTTGGTATTCTTAACCCCCGAGCGGACGAAGTCGGTGGCTTGAACAGCAGCAATCTCCTCGGCAGTAGAAGTCTCCAGAGTTTCCTTGTCAAGAGCTCCACCCGTGAAGGACTTTCCGGTCGCCTCGATGCCTCCTATGATGAGGTACTTGGAGAAGATGTTGCTGCGAACAGAATCAAGCTTACGGCGGGCTCTATAGCGCTGGATGCATGTCTCAATACGTCTGTTTGAGAGTTTAGTGGATTGAATTCTTCCTGACATGTGCTACTTACTGGTGGAAATCTCTGTCCCTGATAGATTGTTAGCATGAGGCATGCAAGACCGATGGGAAACTCACGGATGATAGAGATCAGATTCCACCTGGTAGTCCTCGGGAGTTGTAGGCGGATCGGCATAGAACTCTACAGTTTAATTAACACTATCATTGTAAAGGATTCAGTATAACATACCTTCAAATCCGGTAGGATTGACCTTGAGTTTCTTGTGGATCCCGCTGCTCTTCTTTTTCTTCTTTACTTCAGCAGCCACAACACCAGTCTCTCCAGAATTCTCAACACCAACACCATTGACTTCTGCATTGTCGACGACGGTATCTGAAGCGACGCCAGACTGTAGCGTTGGAGTGGTGTGTGGGGATGGAGCAGGGAAGTTGATATAGGGAGCATTATGGGCATCAGATGGTCTAAGAGCACCGGTAAGTTCAACCCGACTCCTGCTATGGTGGGTACTGCGCCCAATATCAAATAGGTCCTCCTTGGTGTAACGCGGGCCAGTCAATTTTATCTTGGGTGTCTGGCAGTGGGTAGATGGAGCTGCGTTGGGGTCGATATCTCCAAGTACTGGAGAGATGACACCCGTACACGGTTGCTGTTGTTCGGCCATATCGATCTGCTCTGGGTAATAGTGAGATTTCAGAGCTGTCGTATTCAAGTCTCTGTCCTTTGGCCAGAGGTTTGGTCGTGATTGGAAGGAGAGCTGGTGAGGGTGGCAGGGCTGTGCAAGGGAGAAAGGTTGGAGAGGAAGTGACACGAGTGAATACAAAAGAGGGAGGTGAAAGCGCAAGTGAATCGGTCAGATGTTGTATAAACTCTTGTAACGTTCGTTGTTGAGTGAGACAATGAAAGTTCACGGCACCAGCTGACCAGGACTTCTGGCTTCTGGCTTGGGTATATCATCAAAGGATAAGGAGCGGCCTCTAGGAGAGGTCCTACATAGCATAGCTCACCTACGAATTGCAAGATTTAGTTCCGTTGGAGAAGTGAAGACTGCTTGCTATCCGTGTTTTTGTTTTTGGTGTTGGTGTTGGTGTTTGCTCTGCATTAGAAGAAGCAAACGACGTCGATTCACCGGCTGCTATCTATCTGGACACGAAAGGCGGTGTAGCCAGAGGCTTATTATATCTGTGGAGTTGTTAGTCGATTCTACCTTCTTCGTATTCTCACCCTCCCATAGAAGGAAGTGAAGTGAAAGTCAATAGGTGGAGGAGAGTGAGTGAGTGGCTGTGCTGTGTTGTGGAGAAAGCCGCAGCAAAAACAGCAAAAAGCAGCACTGATTGTTATGGAATTCTAGTCGCCCGGCGCATTATAAATTGGTGCCGCTTTTTCTTCCCCCATTTGCTATCGGAAGCGCAATCGCAGCCACCAAAAAGATTACGCCGTACAGTATCTACAGCTGCGACATTACCTTTTTTGTCCTTCTGCAGAGACGCCGCTGGACGCCAACAAATCTGCATAGAAGCCACGACAGCCCAGCCAACCGCCGCCCTTTTCGCTGTTCGCCTTGCGCCATCCTGCAATCAGCCATTAGCCTGCTGTCCATCCATCCATCCTCTTCGCCCTGCTTGCTCACGGCTCACTGCTCAGCCTTCATTTTACGAGAGCTCTGACCGTGTTTTCTTTTTAAAAGTGAGCGCAAACCAGCGCATACATTTCTATATTATTTCCTCTACATCATGATACTTTCATAGCATTTGCGACCCGAGTCAAGATGGCCAAAGCTCTGCCCACGCGCGCAGATCTCGTCGCCTACCAGCAAGGTGTCGCAGGCCAGTAAGTTGCGCAATTGGGCGCAACACTTTGGATTGGAATGCTGACATGCTAGCAGTGATGGTACACTGTGCGACGTCGACGGCGAGCTTTTCATTAAGCCCTGTACCCCCGCCGAAGTCGCATTCTACGAATCCTCTCTTGCGACCCACCAAGACTTCGCCGAATTTATGCCCACGTTCCTGGGAACGCTGACGCTGGACGAGCAGCAGAACGGCCAGACGATTGAAGAAGTGGGCGCTGCTTTGATCGCCAAGCATACCATCCCCGATGTTCTAGGTGCTACAAAGTCGAGCAAGAAGATAGTCACGGACCAAGCTGTGGTACTTGAGAACGCGGCGCATGGCTTTGTAAAGCCTAATATTCTGGATGTTAAGTTGGGGGTGAGGTTATGGGCGGACGATGCACACCAGGATAAGAAGACAAGATTCGATAAAGTTACAGAGGAAACTACGCATAAAGACTTGGGCTTCCGGATCGCGGGCATGAGAGTATGGCAGGGCGCCAAAGCAGTCGGAAAAGACATAGACGCAGACGGCTACAAGATCTACGATAAAAACTACGGGCGTTTTGATCTTCATAACGGAAATGTACATGAAGCATTCAAGAACTTCATCTTCGCCGAGTCGGCTGGTGTTGATGAAGAGTTGGGCAAATTAGTGGCGCAGGCGTTCCACGCGGATGTTTGCAGGATACAAGAAGTATTAGAGGGCCAGGAAAGCGTCATGTTCTCTTCTAGCCTCTTGTTCGTGTTTGAGGGCGATGGAGTTGCTCTGCGCTCTGCTATGGAGGAAGCAAGTCGTTCTCCGGCGACGCTTCAGAATGACGATGGAGATGTGTCGTCAGAAGAGGACGAAGATGAGGATACGAGCCCCAAAATCTATAGTGTCAAGGTCATTGACTTTGCACATGCAAAGTGGACACCGGGTATGGGTCCTGATGAGAACTCTTTAGTTGGGGTCCGGAGTGTGGCCAATATATTGAAGGATCTGGGGAGTGTTTGATGCTTGGGAATCTGGGGCATGGCGGCATGGATATGGAGTTTACATTGATATAGACTTGGCATTGCGCTATACTTGCTATGTGTTACCTAGGTAGATACCCACATGGACGGCATAGAAATCCACTCGTTGTTGTTGAACTTAGTCAACCTGTCCTGCCATGCATCTTGGTGTCAGATCGGGTGACTGAGACTTCAGACCCCTTGCTCGACATATTGAGAAGGGTGAGCCTTTCCAAGCGGAACGTGTTGTTGGGCATTCTAAATATCATTTCTTTACGAAACCTGTATTCGAAAGCCGCCATAGCCAGTATGGCTCAGCACACCTCCCATCACCCAAAACCAATACATAGCAACTGTCCCTCTCCATTGACCAACGCCAGTCAAGAACACGAACAAGTACTCTCTACTCCAAGTCATCTCTACATCTCTTCCACATGCCTCCCCATGCTAGATGAGGCAAAACTAGACACCGCGATCGGTCCCAGAGTTGCTTGCATGCCAGCCATGTGATGATACGAGGCAACAGGAATGGGATTTGTATATGGAGCAGTGTGCTTTCGGTTCCGCCTCAGCACAAGTTCGGGCTCCGAATCGGAAGTTTCTGGCTCTAAATTGGCAGTCGCGTCCCAATCTGGGTTATACAAAGCTGACCATTTTTTGACCAGTTTCGCGGGTGTATCGGCAGACTCTCCTTCAAATCCTCTACCTTAGTAGCCTGAAAGGTGAAAGTCTTGTAGTTGTAGGTCATAAGGAACATAAGCCCTGGGGAAGAACTTTGAGCAAATGGGTAGAATATGATACTATCTGATATGCCCATTTCTTCACCCACCAATTCGCCCCCTCGCATCTCTTTATCTTTCCCTCTCCATTTTATTTTCTATTAGGGCTCTTGTGGAATTGGACATCGCTCTGAGTCTTGTTGTTCATGTTTGCTTTCTCGTTAGTGCTGGGTGATAACTCCTCCATCTAATATTCCATTTCTCCCGGCCGTTGGGAGCTGGACCTACCCACACTCCAGGATTCAGGTAGCAAGCCTTTTCGAATGCAGTCAACTTCTGATGTTGTCGCCGTTCAACAGGACGAGATGGACAGAACCGTATAATTCCTCTCAGAACTCCCTCAAAGTCAAATTTGGCTCATAACTGGCGGCCGATGCTAGAGTGCTGAGGATTATTTACGAGGATTGTTGTCATTGTCATTAAAGCTGTAGTGGGAGGCTCTAGAATGGTTGCAATCTCTGGTCCGGTAATTTCCCATTTTCCTGTTACATCGAACGCCCAGGAAGGGAGTGTTTCGCTTTCCGATGGGATTGGTGCAAGTATCAGAATAGGATCCTGGTCCAGTATAATTCTTGCCTTTATGATACCACCGACGAGGATTGTCTGAGAGGTCCTAGGTTGACTGTCCTCAATTCTTGTCGCTGATTCCCAAGCAGGATCAAATCGAGCTCGCCATTCCTTCTGCAATGACCAACTTTCGGTAGATTCCAGTTCTAAACTTCTCATCTTCTTGCCATCAAAGACCAGATGCTTGCCTTTGTGGATCATAGCGAATCTGATTTTGATTCCCCCTGGAAGTCTCATGAAGAAGCAGTCGAATCTTCCTCGAAAAAGAATTGCCCTTGAGCTCTGGTTTCTCCACCAACAAGGTCCTCATAATCATGACCTCTCCACTTCATAAGCCACTTCTCAAACTTGGGCCTGGAAAGTCTGCATGATGCCTCAAAATCAGCTGAGAGCATTGGCTCACGTTCCCCAGTGCTCATATTCACCATCCTAGAGCATGCACTACACATACGCATAATGCCTCTTGGATTTCCGAAAGCAAAGGTAGCATAGGGTTGGCTAAAAGGACCAGTTTCGTAATGAATTTCTATAGAATAGTTTGATGCATCAATAGATGAATAGCGACTCGTACATACAAGTCGATACCTTCTGGTTGCGTCCTAGTCCTCGGAGTTGCCTGATGAACTTGAACGTTTGGTCAACGCATCTGTTTTAGGTTTTGCTGTGGACTTCGATGCTGGTGCAACTTGAGAAGCTGTCACATTGCTTTTGTCTGTTAAAGCGCCAGAAGCAACGCGTTTTGACCTTGGCGTTGATTGCCCGCCCTCATTCTCCTTGTCATGGAAGTCTCGGGGTAACGGCCGTTTTGAAGGCAGAACTGGTGAAGTAAATATGGTACTCTGTTCCATGGAAGTCAGAGCCATACAACTCAGCCTTTTCGATACGTGATCCTTCAAAGCAGTGTCTTGCTTTAGTTTACCTCAAGATTCGATAATGGTTGGATTCGGGGAGACGCGTCAATCGCGCTCCGAAGTAAATAGATCCACAAACAAGGCTGGGCCATGAGGCTACGAAAACACACCCTTGCTTGCTAGGGGCCAACCTTAAAATATCCCATCTCGAGCACAACCCTCTGTTCTCAACTTTATCAGCGAGCAAGTAATAATGAATATCCCAGGACTTGGCCAGGCAGCTCCTGCTGTATGCCGAACAATCAATCTCTCTGAAAAGGCACAAAAAGCTGACCATAAATAGGCTACATTCTCCGCACCAACTATCCAAGCAGCAGTAGCAGTCCATGACCTACAAGCCAATTCAGAATGGCGTTTCGAAGTCGCATATGGACAAAGTATTGAAGTCAAGGTTTGATTTCCTACTCTGCGTCTATATTTTAAGCTAATATTCTCAAGATCCTTTCAGGAACCGCCGAGATCTTTGGTACAGAGCTGGCTGTCAACCATACATACACATTCCGCGGCACCAAATCATCAATTTTCACCTGGCATGGCTGTCGAATTGAAGTCAACGGGCCCTGCGAAGAGTACATGGCAGAAGAAACGCCCATGATAACCTACGTCAACACACATTTCGCCTTAGAAAAGCTACGAGACGATGCAATTCAGAACGGAGGGGAGGGACCAAGGGTTCTGGTTGTAGGACCAAATAATGCTGGGAAAACCAGTCTGGTGAAGCTGTTGACGGCTTATGCGACACGGATGGGACGTCAGCCTATGGTCATCAATACAGATTCGAGAGAAGCTTTGCTGTCGATTCCGGGGACACTTACGGCTACGCCTTTTGCTTCAATCATTGATGTTGAGCATGGGTGGGGAAGTAGTCCTACGAGTGGACCGAGTCCAGTGCCTGTGAAGCTGCCGTTGTGCTATTATTATGGATTGGCAAGCCCGGAGGATGATACAAAGTTATACAAGCCGATTCTCACGAGGCTGGCGTTGGCTGCTGCAAGCAGGCTAGCTGATGATCCGGTTATTAGGGGGACAGGAATGATTATTGATACTCCTGGAGTTATTAGCCAAGGAAAGGGTGGCTATGACTTAATATCACACATCGTCTCGGAATTTTCAGGTGAGTTAGATGATCACTATTTCTTGGTTTCGCTAATGCTATAAATGTAGTCAACACGATCTTGGTCCTTGGATCCGAGAGATTACACAGTGAGATGCAGCGCAGGTTCTCTGCATACAAGACAAGGTCAGGCGAGGCAATTACTCTAGTGAAGCTGGATAAATCAGGTGGTTGCGTCGATAGGGACGACACTTTTATGCAACAGATGCAAGAGGCTGCCATAAGAGAATATTTCTTCGGTGACCCAAAACGAACTCTTAGTCCACATACTCAACAAGTAAACTTCGATGATGCTACAATCTACAAAATCCATGAAGGTTCGTCTCCATTTCTGGACACGATATGAACCAGCTGACTCTATTCAGCAAACGCAATGCTTTCGTCATTTCTCCCAGGCGGCGAAGAAGATAGCCAGCAAGTAGGGTTATATGAGAATGTGGAGCCGTCCTCAATGATGCTGCATTGCCTACTCGCAGTCATGTATGCATCGACACGGGACTCACAGGAGACAGTTCGGGATGCGAGTGTAATGGGATTTGTGTACGTAGCGGAAGTTGATGAGAAGAAAAGGAGACTCAAGATCCTTGCCCCTTTGAACACCAGAATTACAGATCGACCTATGATCTGGGGTAGCTGGCCAGAGACTACAGTGAGTTTAATATGATTCACGGCTTTCATTGACCAAACGTTTTCCAGTACAAATAAAATGCAGTGCAATAAACCATCGTTGATAGATTGCTGGTCATGATTTGGTAATACAGTACGCCAAAACAGACCTCCCAATTACGCCAATCCAATTCCCTGCCAATCCCTGCGCATTTCCTATATCCATCCATGCCAGTACCGTCGCTATTGACACTTCCTTCATGCTTCATGCCTCCGAGCAAACCATGGCAGCTTAATCCCTAGTCTGTACCTTATGATCTCCCTTCACAGCCTCGGCATAAGTAGGCGGCACCGCACCGCCACTACTTCCCTCCGCACCATTATTGTTCCACGTTCCGTTCTGATCCTGATGAACGGGCGGGGCCATCGGAGCCGTCGTTCCATACGCACTTTGCTGACCAGGTCGCGCATTCTTTGCAGGAACTCTTGTCTTTCTGCCGTTGGGAGAAGTGACGATTACATAGGTGACTCGGCCCTCCTCGGCATCTTGGGGAAGAGAGTCGTAGTCATATTCGGGGAATTTGGCGATGATGTACCATGCGTGGAGGAGTCCAGGGACGAAACCCAGCATGCAAAGGCAGATGTTGATGAGAGAGTCGGCGGAGCATATGCCGCACTTGACCCAGACTGTGAAGAAGTTAGTGTTTGTTCAGTAAGAGTGTTGACGTCCAGCTCCGGTGGATGATCGAGGGGTTGGTCAAGGCTGAAAGCAATGCAGCTCTGAGAGCTCGATTCTTTCTGTGACCTAAGAACCGACTTGACTCTCCTATGATCATCCACGGGCTTTTAGACATATCGGTATCTCCAACCAACACGAGTCCATTTGGTGGAAGCAAAGTGCTGCCTAGAGGGGCGAGTCCTTACCTGCAATTGGGGGAAAGAGGATGGCAATCAAGCCGAGGAAGATATCTGAAGAACACATTTTGAGTTTGGTACTGTTGTTAATGATATGCGCTTGGTGGTGAGGAGGTGAAATGGTTTTGTTGTTGCAACGGAGAGATCCTTTGATTCATGGAGGTCATGTCAGGTCAGGTCGAAGGGAAGGGGCTCAGCCGTACTTCCTTCGTCATCATATCACGTGTGGCGCAACATTGTGCTAGACTCCGAGATATGCGCTAGCTGTTCTGGAATAAGGAGATTTAATAGCCGCGCAGAACCCCTCCAAAAGAAATAATAAGCGCGCTTTGTTACCCACCCTCATAAAAATCTTCAAGATAATCATCACAGATCTAGCCTAAAGGCACGCTTAAGCACACACTGACGCCTTAAGAACTCCCATCAACCAAAGTACAAGTCAAAGGACCGGGAGTGGGGCGATACAGTGTCTAATGGAGGATGTTGATATGACTGGTGTGGGTTCTGAGGGTACTCAGAAGGTACACAAGGGTCAAACGGCTCCACAGAATCAGAAGGGGGATAATGCTGAAAAGAATGAGAAAGTCATAGATTCTGATTCGGACGACGACGATCCAATTGTTTGCTCCTATGACATTTATATCAAGCCAAGAGCCACTGCGGACCGTCAATTTGTGGTTATGCAATTCCCCAATCGCGACTCGAGCCAACCATACAACGAAAAGTCCGAGAGTGCGCCTCTGGCCATCCGAATGAAACCAAAAGCTGGCATGTTTGAGATGGACGTCCCAGTTGACCCATGGCACAATTACGACAGGCTGAAGGGTGTTGTCATGGGAGATGCTCTAAGCAAGAGCGAAAACCTAAAGGGGGCTGGGAGTCACGGATTGGCATCTGGTTTTAGTATCGGAGCTCAACCAGCAAGTAGAGGGCGTCAGAGGACTGCGGCAAATGAAGAACTTGACCCGCAGCCTCTTATTGGAAACTTCGAAAACTCCGTTCGCAATCGTAAGGTCTTGGCAAAGCAGACTTTAGGTGGACAGTCAGTACCGAAGAATGGAATCCGCCCTCAGTATATGGTTGGTGTCTTTCAAGGCGGTATGTAATCTCCCGATCCTGACCGAAGCATTGATTAATTGTGATCATCAGAACAACTACATCTCACACCTGTTGACCATTTCGTTCAGATGCGGCCACAGTTTCATCACATCGATGCTTTGGCTGAGGCCGCAGCTCGTGCCCTCCCTCGGGCCGTAGTTGCTCGTCCACAGGAAGCACGTGCCGTTCATCTGACAGCAAAGTCTTCGATTGATGGCGAGGAAGAAAATGACGAGACCATGGCCGATCGTATTGCAGCTGTTCAGGCCGAACCGTGGAACAGCTTCCGGGTGGTTGATGAAAATAGTGACGAGGCCTGGGCTTCTTTCTATGACACCATGTTCGTGGGTGCCGACACTGGTCTTAAATCAAACGAGGAGCTGCGTGCGAATATTCCTAAGCTCAAATCCGTCTGGAGTAATGCCGAGTACTTGGAGGCTATTGCTCCGAAACGGCAGACAGTCAAGGCAAAGGACAAGAAGTTGAAGGGGAAAGAAGTGGTGGCAGAAGAAGATGACTTTGATTTGTCTAATTTGGAAGATACGGACAGCGAGTGAATACGAGTTCATGGCGAAGAATAGGGACGATTGCTGCATTTCCAGGCGTGTAAAAGGACAATACCCTTGCATTGATGGCGTTCACTAGACTAGGGTTCATAGAAAGCATGAAGAAACAACAACTGTACCATATTTAATACTCCTAAAAGGGATGTTGATTTGCAATCGATATAATAAATTTTACCTCTCCCCTGAGTATCTAGAGCGGGGACACCACCCTTAAGTCCGAACGCGATAACGATTACTGGCGCGGGAGCTCTGAAAGCTTACTTTACATTTCACGCCCCTCGGCTTCTCAACCAAACTCCAACATTTGGGTCTCTTCAGCGCAGCTCGGGGGATTGAAGATGGCATATCTTGCCCCTATCCACCGGCCGAGCAGCGTGCGCCATGCAATTAAGTTGAATCTTCTAGACCCCAAAGAGGAATGTTTAGTCCTTGCGTATGTCACCCCCACATAAACACCAAGCAAGACCTGCTAACTCGCACACAGCAAGGCAAATCGGGTCGAAATATGGACTCCAGGTCCAGAAGGTCTGGTAATGCTTCACAGCAAAGCCATCTATGGACGCGTGTCCATGTTCGCAAAGATCCGCCCCCAGGGCTCCGATGTCGACCACCTCTTTATAGGCACAATCCGCTTCCAATACTTCACTGTATGCTGGAACCCCACCACACGAGAATTCGACACCGTACACTCATTTGTAGATCTTACGGAAAGGCAGATGAAGGATTCGCAGAGCAGAGATCTGTGTAATGTCGATCCGACTGGGAGGTACCTGACTATAGAGCTCTTTGCGGGGGTTATGAATCTTATCAAGGTCAAACAACCTAGGAAAGGAGTCCGGAAGGCAGACAATTATCTGGATAAGCCGGAACAAGTACGGATTACAGAATTGCGGGTCCGGGCGTCGACGTTTCTATACACCGAATCAGATAGACCAAAAATTGCATTCTTATTCCAGGAACCGAAGGGCGAAGTCAAGTTGGCTACTTATAGGCTGGTGGATGATAAAGGTGCCTTTATGACTTTTGAACCTCAGAAGGACCGAGAGGATTACGTTCGAGATCTGGATATAGGGGCCAGTCACCTTATCCCGGTGCCGAAAGGCGAGGAAGACCACAAGAGATATATCGTCAGAAATGCAACTTCAGTCAAAGCACAACTAGGCGGTGTTATAGTAGTGGGGGAGACGAAAATGACATACCTTGACGATGAAAGTAAGGCGGTGATCCACCATAGCTTGAAAGAGGCATCGATATTTGTTGCTTGGGAGAAAGTTGATGATTTACATTTCCTGCTGGCGGATGATTATGGAACTCTGCATCTTCTGACGCTTATTGTTGATGGTGCTGTGGTTTTGGGCATGGATGTTGTGAAATTGGGGAAAACGACCAAGGCTTCCGTCATGGTGTATATGGGTGGCGGAATTCTTTATATTGGCTCACACTCAGGAGACTCACAAGTGATCCGGTTGGGGGATCTCGATGGGGATGGTGTAAGCCTGGCGATTCTACAGACCTTGCCAAATATCGCTCCGGTTTTAGATTTCGCTGTCATGGACATGGGAAGCCGAGAAGGAGAGACTCAAATGAACGAATACTCTTCGGGACAGGCACGAATAGTTACTGGGAGTGGAGCTCACGAGCAAGGCAGCTTGAGAAGTGTTAGAAGTGGTGTTGGTCTAGAGGATATTGGAATTCTGGCCGATATAGAAGAAGTACGAGGGGTGTTCAATCTGCGTTCGAATAAGCAGTCTCAGGCAGACGATACTCTTATCGTATCGTTTCCCATGGAGACACGGGTCTTCACATTCGATTCCCAGGGGGAGATCGAAGAAGTCGAGTCCTTCAGAGGCCTTGCGCTAGATCGACATACACTTCTAGCAATAAACCTCCCGGGTGGGACGTTCCTACAAGTCACACCTGACTCAGTAACAATACTTGGCCAGGGCCGCCAGGCTCAATGGAATCCACCTACTGGACAGTCTATTACAAATGCGTCCGCCAATGAGGGTCATGTATTACTTTCAGTCAACGGACTTACACTAGTTTCGCTGGACTTACAGCAAGAATTAAAGGAAGTTGCTGCGCAAAATCTCAGCAACGGCGACCAAGTTGCTTGCGTTCACGTACCTTGTGATATTCTAGGCTTCGGAATAGTAGGATTGTGGAAGTCGGGCTCTATCTCTATCCTCAACCTCGCAACCCTCGAAGTCGTCCATTCCGAGGATCTGCGCCGGACTAACACGACATCTATACCTCGAGATATTGTCATGACACAGATACTTCCGAAGGCTGTTTCTGGACCCCATCTCTTCGTTGCAATGGAGGACGGGATTGTTCTGACCTTCAACGTGGACAAGGAGACATTCCACCTATCGGGCAGGAAGAGCGTAGTCCTCGGAACGCAACAAGCTCACTTTCAAGTCCTACCTCGAGAAGACAATCTTTTCAACATATTCGCAACTTGCGAGCACCCCAGTCTAATATATGGAACAGAAGGACGAATAGTCTATTCTGCAGTCACTGCAGAGAGCGCCGTGTGCGTATGCTCCTTTGACAGCGAAGCCTATCCAGGATCGATAATTGTTGCCACCGCAGAAAATATCAAACTCTCCCAAATAGATACCGAACGCAGAACTCACGTCCGGACATTACACATGGGCCGCAATGTTAGACGAATAGCATATTCTAAAACCGAGCGAGCCTTTGGCATTGGCTGTATAGAACGGAAGTTGGTTCGAGGAGTAGAGACGATCGCAAGCAGCTTCTCGCTCGTCGAAGAGGTCAACTTTGGCGAACTAGGAGAGCCATTCTGGCTCGATGGCGAACATGGTCAGGAACTCGTCGAATGCGTGACGCGTGCTGAATTACCGACTGCGTATGGATCTCATATACCCGTGGAGAGATTCATCGTTGGCACGAGCTACGCCGAGGAAGACAGACTTGGCGACACGAACGAACGAGGCCGCATATTAATCTTCGGCATCGATAGCTCCAGAACCCCTTACCTGGTCGCGGCTCACACCCTCAAAGCCTCATGTCGATGTGTTCGCATTCTGGACGGGAAGATAGTAGCAGCGCTGGTGAAAACGGTGGTCGTCTACGACTACACGGAAACCACCGAAAGCTCCGCAGCTCTCACCAAGCTCGCCACCTACCGCACCTCAACATGCCCTATAGACCTGGCCGTCACAGGCAACATCATCGCAGTCGGAGACCTCATGAAATCCGTCTCCCTACTAGAATACATTCCCGGCCTCGACGGCCTCGATGCCAAACTCACCGAAATAGCGCGGCACCACCAAGCTTCCTGGACTACATCCGTCGTACACCTAGAAGACGAGAGCTACTTGCAAAGTGACGCAGAGGGGAATCTGATGGTTCTTGCCCATAATCCGGGCGGTGTTACACTAGAGGATCGCAAGAGGCTGGAGGTCACGAGCGAGATTAATCTAGGGGAGATGGTTAATAGGATACAACGTGTCAATGTGGAGCCCACTCCAAATGCTATCGTGGTCCCGAAAGCATTCCTCGCAACCGTACGTCGCTCTCTTCTCCTTACCCATCCTATCCCACCTCTCACCCAGCCTATCCATAATACATGCATGCATAGCTAACACAAATCAACAAACAGACCGAAGGTTCAATCCACCTAATATCCCTCATCGCCCCCTCATCCCAAGACCTGCTCATGCGCCTACAAACCCGCATGTCAGAGCTCATAACCACACTCGGCGACATCGACTTCAACCTCTACCGCTCCTTCAGATCCGCCGTGCGCGAAACGGCCGAGCCCTTCCGCTTCGTGGACGGCGAGTTGATCGAGCGCTTCTTGGATGTCGATGAGGAGACGCAGGCGCGCATTTGTGAGGGTCTCGGGCCGAGTGTCGAGGATGTGAGGAATCTTGTCGAGGAGTTGAAGAGGGTTCATTAGGGGAGTGGCGTGTGGTGGCGGGCTGCCCGAGGTAGCTCGGTTACGAGTAGGTGAAATGGCCGCCGCCGAATTTTATGTTACACAATTGCCGACCAGGCTTGCTGTGGACAGGAAAATTGACACCAATCTATGATGGGTCAGGTGAAGTGAGTGGGACACTTGAAAGTTGAATACGATTTATGTACATCATGAACCAGGTTAAATTTAAGCAAATCATCGGATCGGCGTCCAGAGAGAGCATTAAAAACATAGATAATTCAATTTATTTCATTCATCATGTCCTAATGCACTCCTAACTACAAAAATGCTTGCTTGCACGCAATTTCCACAACGCCAATAATGAATGGGTCTTTACGCTTCTCGGGTAAGATATCTGTAAACAACGGAGAAGTCCCTGCCCTTGCAGTCATCCTGCTGCTCAGCAGCCTCATAAACCTCCCCGGCTCGGGCAGCAAGCTCAAGACGAGCTCCAGCCTCCTCAGCAGCTAGAACTGCAAGACCAAGATCCTTCTTCATTAGGCTAAGGCCGAAGCCTCCGCTGTAGTCTCTGCTTGCCGGGCTACCCTCGACGACACCTTGCACAGGGTTGTTGATTTCACTTGGCCAGCACTTTCCGGTGCTGATGTTAATTAAGTTTCCAAGAGTTTTGGCATCCAGTCCCCACTTGATGCCTAGGTTCATGGCTTCTGCAGTTGCGATGTTGTTGATAGCAAGTAAATAGTTGTTTGCGAGTTTGCCTGAGAGACCGGCTCCCTGGACTCCACAATGAAGCACCCTCTTGCCCATAGCTAGTAGAATAGGCTCAACACGCGAGACTAGGGAATCCGGAGATCCAAGCATGAAAGTCAGAGTCCCAGCGGTAGCTCCCACTACGCCGCCTGACATTGGTGCGTCCACAAATCGTCCTTGCTGGGTGGTGTGCACCGCTCTTGCTGTTTCTCTCGAAGACGCAGGGTCAATTGTGGAGCAGTCAATGAACAAGCGATCTGGGTTTGCGACCTTTTCTTCGCTGAGTGGGCGCTTCAGGATTTGAGCAAACACATTCTTTACGTGTGATGGTCCGGGCAAGACGGTAATGATTGTTTCCTAGAAAATCCATATCAGCAAAGATCTCTTGCAATATTTTGGACATTCAAGATCGTAGCAATTAAGTAGGAAATATCAGAGGATTGGCTTTGTTGTAAATTTTAGGAATCATGTAGAAATCACCCAAGACGGGCGACCCCAACTTAGATCATTCGTTGGAACAAACTCATCATATGGAAAAATAGAGGGACTGCGAAGGCAAGGAGTGACTGTGGGAAACACTCACGGAATTGTGAGCAGTATCCCTCGGACTGGTTCCGATCTCCACCGCAGCACCCGCCGAGAGGGCCTTGGTTTCGGTTGCAAACCTCTCAAGCGATTCGGCATTGACATCGAATATTCGAAGGGTATCTGTGGAGGGAAGCTTTGCTTGTAGATTGCGAGCCATATTGTATCCTAAGAGGAAGTCAGCGTGGTGAAGCTACCCAGGCTGTCGCGTGCGTCTATAACATACCCATTTGGCCGAGCCCTATGAAGCCATACTGAGTCCGGCATCCCATAGAGGCAGAGAAGCTCCTGCGCTGGCCATATTGCAGAGCTGACCGCACCCGAGGTGCTACTAATCTGTAGTTCGACCTCATCTTTCGAAATGGTGGTGGTGAAAACAGGAAGAAGCAGAGGAAGAAGAGGAGAAGTTCGTATCAACAAAAGATGGGGCGTGTACCTACCCTGTCCAGCCTGCGCAGGAGTAGAGAGCTTCGCAGGCACCTAAGCCCCGCTAAGATCTCTGGCGCCTTGCTCCTTACAGTGAGGCGCCTGGGGTATGGGGAAGGGCCTAGCCAGTGGGATGCCCTGAGGATCAGTGGAAGATGAGGGGGAGGAGTACGGCAAAGCTTGCCCGAGAGACCGAATCCGAATGCTTCCGGTCGTCATTCACGGTGATTGATGCTGTTGGACTGTGAGACAGGAATATGGGGCAATACATATTGTACCGACCCGTCTCTACCCGACGGATGAAAAGCAGATACATGCATGCGCATAGTGCAGTGCGTGTCAGTAATTTACGTATCGTACGGTAGCAAATGTCTGGTTAGCAAGCAAGTGGGAGGGAGAAAGATGAGAAAAGGAGAAGGAAGGAGGGGTAGTGTGTGAGGTTGGAGAGTTCAAGAAGATCGAAGAAAATAAAACCAAAAAAAAACCGAGAAGAAAAGTTTCTTCGGTTCCGTGGAAATTGAGGGTCACGTGGAGCCTCACGATGGATGCACGGTGTCACCACAGGCGCCGCCAGCGGTGAGTGGGCTGGTGGGGTTGGTTTGGTGGTCGGCCAAGAAGGTCCGGAGTTTCAGCCTCGATATCGAAGCTAATCAAGCCGTTGTTATTTTCATTTTCATTATTCCATCTGGTCGGGAATACTTTCTTCGTTAGGCTCAATCCTCACGCAGCATGCTTTTCAGAGCATTTAGACCAGTTCTCAATTTATAGTAAATACAACATACATTATATCGTTAGTTTACCATATCTAAGCCCGTTTATGGACCTCTACCTATACACTCACCCGGGTATCAACCAGTCTCCTTCCTTTATATCCCAAAAACACTCCAATCTATCACAAGTCCAATAGACTACCACCCCCCAAAAGCATCTACAAACTCCCCAACCCCCACAGGAAACGCAAGAAAGCAAAACCTACCTCTTCTTCTTCCCCTCAAAACTCCCAACAACCCCATCCAAAGTCTTCGCCGCCTTGGCCTCCCTCTTCCTAAACCCCCCATTAAACAGCTCCGGCAACACCATCTGACTATTCGCATGTTCGGCCGCAAACCCAACCTCAGCACTCCCGCCCATCCTCTCCCTCGTAACCCTAACCGCCTCCTCCAACAACTCAGTCCCGACCCCCTTGCCCCGATACTTAATGCGAACCGTCCACGCGCGCACCACGCCCTTCCCACCCAGCTTCCTCCCCTTCTTCCCGCTGCCATTCCCATTCCTCTCCAGCCTTAAAACCAGAGCGCCGATAATCTCCTCCCCATATCGACTCCCAATAACAACATCTTCCTCCCCATCATTATTATTAACCGTTAAGAAATTCCAATTCAGTTCCTCGGCAAGATTGATGTACCCCGACGTGAGTCCCCGCACAAGGATCAAACACGCCATCGTAACACCCGCCCCCGTCGTCGCCACAATCCCAATATCCTCTCTCGTCTTATACAAAAGCTGACTCACGATCGCCAGTAACCCAATATACACCGCAATCGTCAACGGATGGAAAATCGCTGCTCGGGACGCGGCTTGGCGCTGCTGCGCGATGGAATCGGCTACCAGTTTCAGCGCGGCGACCTTGTCGGGTTCGGAGACCAGGACGCGCGTTGTGAGCGGTGGAATTGAGGCCAGGGGGTTGGTGGGAGCAGGGAGCTCGTCGGACATGGAGGTCATGTTTGCGACACTGGAGGGGAGGAAGGATAGCGGGGGGAGGGTTTGTGAAGTTGATGGGGTAGAGGAGGGGTGTTGAGGTGTTGGAGTTTATGATTGAGGCAGGGAGGACGAGGTTTGCGCGAAGGAAGGTGAAAAATGCTGCAGTGAGAAGGACGTGTTAGCTGGTTCTGCATTGTATAAACTCAAATAAGATTGAGCAGACGTACTTGTCTGCAAGAAGCTTGTGCAACGCGACGTTGAAAGCAGTGGATAAATTGTCCGAGGTGGTACAAGAAATTCCAATTCTCCGAGTCAAAATGTAAAAGGAAACTTCAACCACCCACAAGACAAAAACGAAAATATATATTTTTTCCAAATAGGAAAAGACAGTCCTACTAACCAGCACTGGTCTTAAAGCCAGGAACAGTATTCATTCGATCCGCAATAGTACTGGTGTGGCCCATCTGGCTACTAAGGTCCAGCTCTTGGATATGCACGTGGGCGTGAGCATGGTGTCTAGCCATTCTCCCGACCTCCTTTTACCTAATAAACGACTCAATCAAAGCAAAATTAGACATTTGTCAACAATCCAAACTGTGAAACCGAGGGGATTCGAGCACATCCTTATATCCTGACGTATTATCTTCGCACGTGGGTGCCATTGGCCCCGATAAGGAACGGGACGCTTGGCGGGTTATCGCTGCGGCACAGAAGTCTGGACCCCCATGTGAAGCTGCTAAAGCGTGGGAGGCTGATGTGCAGGTGACTGTTGGTGGGGGAGGTTGATGCGCTGGAATCCTATGGAGATAAGGTATGTACACATGCGGGAATAGCTTCAATGGTTACCATTGAAAAGCCACACTGATATCAGTTTCAGGATATAAACATTTGAGCCAATCAAGTGCTTTGGTCTGGTAAGCGATGCCCCTCCTTTTCCCCGAGTCCCACACCCACACCCACCCCCTTTTTTGGCGAGAATACTCAACAAAGATGGCACCAAAGCAGCCCAAAACGTCGTGCTCAAGGCGAGCTACACTGACAATAATATGAACCAGCAATAGCAACCACAGTACCAATCAAAACCCCGTAGTACTCGGCGTATATTAGTGGAGGAGAATATGCTGATAACGTATCGTCGGAATAACCAAGGCGAAAGTGACCCAATAGATCAATGGTAGCTATCTCACCCCTTGCTAATCCAGCTCGAGAATAATTGCAGGCGGTAGGAGGTCCTGGATATAAAGGCGGAAGCTCCAACGCCTGCAAAGAGTGACAGTCGCTTGAAAATAGACCATACACGCACTAGGGCCTCAGATCCGAAGCGTTGCGGTTTGATGAGAGCGTAAAGCTCCATAATCAGTGGTTTCGTTGAAGTTTTTTTTTTTTGTTTTGTGTGTGAACATGATGCCTTGGCTATGGCTGTTCAAGGGAGAATGTTGCCAAAATTTGCATGTGTCCTTGTTGGGACATCCTTGAAAATATGATAGACAAGAGAGCGCGCATAGATGCCAAGGCCTTGGCGCATCATGATTGATGATGCAAGCATACATTTCGGGAGAAGCTTCCTTGCACCTGTGAGAGTCCTTCTCGGCAGACAGAAAAGGCGGCTCCAATATATAATGTGCCACGCGGCATAGGGAATCTGAAGTCGCTGATAATGAGTGCCGATTTTTGTGTCTAGCATGAAGGGGGTATTCATACTCCATGCAAGATTCCACCGCTTTCAAATTGTCTACCTTCATCAACTAGCACGCCTCCTTTCGAGAAACGTTCTCGAATTTGCAAACTGTTCCATTAACACCTTCCGTCAGGATATTCGAGTCTTCAAAAGCAATCACCTCTTGAGATTCGAACTCAGGTTCACTCCACCCATAGAAGCGAGCCCCTCGGTCCTGAGAGAAGTCTGCACAGATTCACAAAACCCAACTTTCAGCTCAAGTAGCGCATCCTGCGCAGGATCTCCAGTCCCAGTCTTACTCAGGTTGCAAAGCAGAGTCTGAGCTGTTTCAAATGGGAAGAACATAATCATCCTCCTAACCATCCGCTGGTGCTGAACAAAAAAAATAGTCGGTTGACTGGCAGAGTTTATCAGCAGACTTCATAGCTTTTGTTTTGTATTTTCGGATATCAATATCGGAGAATGACTTGTAATCGTCCGTCGTAGATCCTCGAGCACAGGTTGTCATGTCAATAATAAGCTGGCAGAGAAAAATCTTTGTCATCTCGCAGAATATAAAAGCGGCAGCAACCTCAAAGCTTATGAATGAGAACTGAATCGAGTATGCGACTGGCGTAGCATCATCTAAAGTCTTGACTGGTAACCATTCTTTGTAAATTTGCAACCTTCCATCTCCTCCGCGGAGCTTGGCGTCCCATTCTGAGATGGCGTTTCCGACCCTCAGAACAATCTTGATCAGACTGTCCAGTAGTGTGAAATTGTCTTCGTCATCCGACGGATCCGATTGCATTTCAGCTTTTATCTTGTCAAAGGCTTGCATGACACACGGTAGATGAAAAGCAGGGTCTATCAAGGTCTGAAGGTAACTAGAACTATTAGGTTCCTCGGATTTCCAGGGTGGTTTAACTGCGGAAGACGGTGAATTAGCTTGACTTCTTGAAGAGCATCCTAGATTACAAGGCATTCGTAAGATATGATAGTGCCTGGAGTAATATTCCAGAGCCACCGTACGGCTCCTAACGCCTGTATAATAGGACACACGAAGTGTGGTTATCTTACTCCACTCAGGAAGACACAGGAACGATGCTTTGCGAGTTGTGAGGCAGACTGGAAGCTGTATTGCTCGATACTCGTAGAAGGTCCGCCGACTAGCATGCGAATTTAGGTTCTGAACACCGCGTGCCTTTAGCATAGCTCCAACGCCTTTCCACATCAAATTAGTACCGTTTCTTTGCAAATGAATGACGGACAGGAGATCAAAGGAAGACATCAACCCTAATCCCTCATTGCTCGGGGGAGTTCCCTGTGATAGTACTTACCTTGCAGGTGCTGCATCTGGTGATAATAATTGTTGTTGGCAACTAGCTATTATACATCAGCGAGGTTAGCAAAGAATAAGCACGGGGGATTTACCTCATACATAGCGCACTTAAGGCATGTAATCAAGTTGACATCAACCTGATGTTGATCAAGAGTAGGAAATGAGCCGCTACGAAATCCTGTACGAAGTCCATTGAGGGCTCGAGTATAGTGCTGTACTCCTGAAAATATCAAAGCCTGGTCCGCCCCTTCCTTGCCTAGCAGGGCCAGAGACATTGAGAGTAAAGAAGCATGGAGCTTCTCTGACCCAGGAAGGAAAGATAATGCGCATGCTTCGCCTATCCAACTTTCGCAGATGCCTTGTCCCAGGTCGCTTGAGACAACGCCCATATCAGGGAGATAGCGGTCTTGAATGACAGCAAGAAGTCCCGTTTAGTATTGAGCAACACCAAAGGACTCATCAATCCAAGGGGCGATGATTCCATTCGCCTCTATTCCAATGGGAAGTTTTTGTTCTGGGGCATCTCTCCGTTTCAGTGCAGCCGCTCTATTCCGCACGGAACGCTCTGCTGGAGACTTCTGGGCCTGCTTTGGACGGAGTGAGACATTCTCCGACTTTCCCAGCTTCTTAGTTCTATAACTATGTGTGCCATCAAAGTGCACATAGTCAACGGCGCGTTCATAGCCTCCGCATGATGAACCGGTATCGATGCAACGCTGACATGCAGGTTGCTGGCCATCACACTATTACAGCCAAGCAGCGTGTGTGAGTCTTCAGGCGGCAAGCATATTGGGAGAAGAGAGCTCACCTTGACTTTGCGTCTTCGACACTCCTGGCAGCGTGAGACATAGGCGCGGCCACCAACCCTGACCATGGCTCATAAGGTGTACTGAAGTGGCCGGCCGCCCACAATCATAACACAGCAACGAATCACTCTCTCCTGGATTTGCGGCAGTCCATCTATACCTCTCGCACACGTGTTTAGAGCACAAGAGGAGGCTTCTGACTTCATGACACGCGAAGTGAAGTGAAGCGAAGCGAAGGTTCCGTGTCTGCGTCCATTTTCGGAGTTAATATGGACCCATCTCGTATTTGACGGTAGGTACCTATAGTTCAGTGGCTCAGCCTCGTGGATAAGGCTGACCATCTCGGCATGATGTCTACCTTTTCCTTCTGTTATATATGCTTAGGCATGATTTCTGTAAAGTTTCGACCGAAGTATACATATGGGCAAGACTTGGCCGCACTCAACCCCACCTTCTTCCGATAAGCTCCTCCTATCTACTACTCTACCCCGCCATGTAAGATCTTATAAAGACTACCGGTCTTTTGGGCTAAGCTACCTTAGTTTATGATCTCAGACCAGTCTTCAAGTACTTCTCGCTTTCTCTTCACGGTTGTTCTGTATCCTCAAAATATTAGTCAAATTGTGCGAACTTCAATACACAATGGCATGGGAGAAGATAGCAGAAGATAAGAAAGCGCGCATTGCGGCATCCATTCCTCCAGAATGGCGTCTCAAATCAGCACCAACAGAAGTTTCTGTAATGGACTATCCCAAGGAGAGTGGCATCATGACTGCTGAGGAACTAGCAATTACAGAGTCTTCTGCTACCGATTTGGTTACGAAGATGGCCGAGGGTCAGTTGACTTCCGTTGCGGTTACGACTGCATTTTGCAAAAGAGCTGCTCTAGCTACTCAACTAGTACGTATAGTATCTTTTCAAGGGATAAATATATCATTTTAATCTTCTATCCAGACCAATTGCACTCTCGAGTTCTTCCCTGAAATGGCCTTAGCACGTGCAAAAGAACTCGATGAATCGTTCAAGAAGACAGGAAAAGTGGTTGGCCCTCTTCACGGGCTCCCAATCTCTCTTAAAGACCAATTCAGAATCAAGGTACAGCTCACCAGATTGGAATGTCTCACTGGAACTCACTGTTTTTTTTTAGGGATTAGAAACATCTATGGGATACGTTGCGTGGGTTGGAAAGGTTGACAAGGTCGATTCAGTCCTCGTTACACTCCTCTTGAAAGCCGGAGCCGTCTTCTACGTCAAGACAAGTGTTCCACAGAGTTTAATGGTTTGTGAAACTATTAACAATGTAATTGGCCGCACTGTAAATCCAAGGAACAAAAACTGGTCTTGTGGGGGTTCGTCCGGAGGTGAAGGTGCGATGATCGCGTTTAGAGGGGGGATCATTGGAGTTGGGACTGATATTGGTAAGCTGCTTCATTCGAAATCTAACAGATGCGTCTATCTAACATGTTCAGGTGGATCTATTCGAGTCCCATCGGCATTCAACTTCCTTTACGGCTTGCGACCTAGTCATGGCCGTCTGCCATACGCAAAGATGGCAAATAGCATGCAAGGCCAAGAGACTGTTCACAGTGTCTGTGGCCCTCTGACACACTCGGTTAAAGGTATTTATCTCAAGTTGCAGAAGTTCGTAGCTGATAGAACATAGATATGCGTCTTTTCGTGACGTCTGTCCTGGCTGAAGAGCCCTGGAAATATGATCCAAAAGTCGTTCCCTTGCCCTGGAGACAGTCAGAAGCAGATGTCATCAAAACCAAGCTCTCTTCGGGAGGCTTGACTATTGGATACTACAACTGCGACGGTGTAGTCCTCCCGCATCCACCCATTCTCCGAGGTGTTGACACCGTTGTCTCTACCCTCAAAGCAGCAGGCCACGATGTCTTCCAATGGACACCCTACAAGCACGACTATGCTAACAAAATAATCAACGGCAGTAACTAACCATTTTCTTTGTCCCTCCTCTGATTTTGCTGTGTTGAGGTTCCCAAAAGTGCCTTATTAGCCTCTCACCTTCTTCCTACCATTTACAGGGACCACATTACTAATGATCTATAGTCTACGCCGGCGATGGAGGAGCTGACATCTTCAGCACAATCAAAGAATCGGGTGAACCGGCCATCCCAAACTTCGCCGACCTCATCAACCCCTCTCTTCCCAAAATCGACATGAATGAGCTCTGGGACGTGCAACTCCAGAAGTGGGCCTACCAGTGCGAGTACTTAGAGCAGTTCCGACTTGCCGAGGAGACGCTGGGCAAAGAGATTGATGCTATCATTGCTCCGATCACGCCTACGGCTGCTATAAGACATAACCAGTTCAAGTATTACGGGTACGCTAGTGCTATCAATCTTCTGGACTTCACGAGTGTTGTTGTGCCAATTACTTGGGCGGATAAGAATGTGGATAAGAAGAAGGAGGGGTATAAAGCGCTGAGTGGTATCGACGAAGCCGTCCAAGCTGAATGCGAGTTCTCCATTCCGGAGTTGGGGAGTTCATGCTAATGAGATATTTAGATGATCCTGTGGCATATGATGGTGCTCCGGTGGCAGTACAGATTGTGGGACGGCGGTTGACTGAGGAGAGAATCATGGCTATTGCGGAGGAAATTGGAAGACTTTTGGGCAATGAAATTACCCCTTGAATTCTCATCTTATATGAGATAAATTACTCACAGTTGGGAGACAACATTTCTTGTCCTCATACTAGTACCACCTTCTTACATGGAATTTGGATTATTACTAAGGCGCAGGATGCGCTCGCTAGACCCCCCTTTTTAACACATCCCGTTTTATATTTCCACCTTGATCTATGAGACTATTGCATTTCGCACACTCGTTGCATTGCATCTATGCAGTAAACGTCTGTGGAAGACTAATAGAAAAGAAAGGTAATTGATTGACACATGAATGAAAATGAATTCTCAGGGTGGTGTAGCGATGTTCCATCTCAAGTGAGAATTGAAGACTAACTCGGTCGAACCCGGGAATCTTGACATGGATGAATACTTGGTGCAGTACCTGAAACGCAATACATCAAATTATAAGCAAGATAACCTTGGACAAAAGCACTAAAATAAGAGATCTGAAGTCTGGCTACTGTACCTGCAAAGATAGTGTCTACAAATGACTTCGTGTAGAGCCTGATGTACGAGTATTCTCTTTAAATTAGATTATCAAGAAACAAAAGCCATGGTGCACAGTCGGAACTGAGTTGAGTAGCTAGAGAGCTTTGAGTATGAAGCTGTTGGTATTCTTTTAATGTATGAGCGACGGTATTGATGGTGTCGTCTGGGGAAATTCCTACCTAGGGAGGCACTAGTCTAGTCTACGAGCCCTGTACCTAGGTACTCTTGGCGTAGATCTCCCCTCATCCACTACCCCACTCTCCAACTCCAAACGTCATTCTTAGTGCACATCTGATTTATAAGAATCAACCGTTCTTATTTTCTAAGTCCTAGATTCTTCAGCTTCAGCAACTAGTTAAGTATTCGCATGTCTGCAAGATACACCTCAAGACTTCTTTCGAATCTCCGTCGCGCAACACAATTGACACAACTCCCATTCCACACAAGACTAAGTCTAGCACGCACAATGGCTTCCATCCCCAAGACCATGAAAGGAGTTCTCATTGAGAAGACCGGCGGAGTAGAAGTCCTGCAATATAAAACCGACCTTCCAGTCCCAACCCCCAAAGAAGGAGAAGTGCTCGTAAAGAACGATTTCATAGGCATAAACTACATCGACACGTCTGTCTTCCCCTACCCCTCTTACAATACTATCCTAACAACCATCTAGCTATTTCCGCACCGGCCTCTATCCAGCCCCCAAACCCGAAATCCTAGGCCGCGAAGCAGAAGGCACAATCCTCTCCACCGGCCCCAGCGGCAATCTCTACAACCTCAAGCCCAACGACCGCGTCGTCTGGCTCGGCACCAGCGCCTACGCTGAATACTCCGCCGTGCCCGCCTCCAAAACCGTGCTCATCCCCTCCGCGCTCCCCGCAGGAATTGCAGCTGCCTCCCTGCTACAGGGCCTCACGGCTCTTACCATGATCCGGGAATCCTACCACGTGCAAAAAGGCGAGTGGATTTTGGTGCACGCCGCTGCGGGGGGTGTGGGGTTGTGGTTGTGTCAGTTATTGAGGGCAGTTGGTGCTAGGACGATAGGCACGGCTAGCACGGCGGAGAAGTTGGAGTTGGCCAAGGCGAATGGCGCAGAGGTGGTGATTAATTATAAGACGGAGACGGATTTTGTGGGGAGGATTAAGGAGATTACTGGAGGAGACGGGGTCAAGGCTGTTTTTGATAGTACGGGGAAGGATCAGTTTGAGAATGATTTGGAGGTTGTGGCGAGGAAGGGGACGATTGTCAGTTTTGGAAATTCGGTAAGATGGATTTTGAAGTTTTGTCTAAGGTGGTGGGAATGAGATGACATGTGAAACTGACGGGGAATAGTCTGGTGCCGTACCACCCTTTTCGATTTCGAGACTGACTGCGAAGAATATCAAGCTTTTGAGGCCGGGGCTGTTTCACTATATTGCTACGAGAGAGGAGTATGAGGGGTACTGTGCTGAGCTTTTTGACTTCATTATCAAGGATAAGCTGAACACTAGGATTCATGAGACGTATCCGCTCGCGGATATTGCGAGGGCACATACTGATTTGGAGGGACGAAAGACCACTGGCAAGCTGTTGCTGAAGCCGTAGGATGGCGGGTCATAATAGCCACAGGGCTCAATAATCCTAAAAACGCAAAAGTTGTACTGTATATGGTCTGGAGTATATTATAATGTGTGAAAGTGAAGAGCGAAAAAGTTGGGTACTGTATCAAGTGCGATCGATGTCAGAAGGCTACCTAGGCATGACAGAATGCGAAAGGAGCCGCCGTCGACTCTGAAGCAGAACATCGACCATCAGCAAGCAGCCTCCAGCCCCTTAAAACTGCATCTCCCTAAATTTTATAACATACTTGCGCCAGCCTGCCCGCCCACCCCTTTTCTTAAGCGAGCCGGGCGATGTTTATAGGTATGAATGAGAAATACGAGGCGATGTTTGGATAAGGTGTTCGTTTAGTGATTCATGTACATGGTTCGGCTACGCTTGATAGTATACTATAGTCATCTGCTCTGTGAAAAGAAGATGGTGCATGATATGAAAGAATCTGAGTGCCCTGTAAAGTCTGCATAATTAATATACGAGTCTAACGGAGAATTCGTTGGTACTATATGATATGATAGACAAGGGGGGGGATCAACGACAGGAAATGTTAAAGGCTAGGTATTGAAGAGATAATAAATGTCTGGGAATAGAAAGTTCGCAGCACATCGCACTTGTCTATGGTATTCCTCAAATTGGGAATGGCACACGAGAGAGTATTTCCTCTCTGAAGCTTGGAATGATTATTTAGTAGCAGTCAAGCCTCCGGGAAATAGCCATGTTATGTAAACTGAACGCTAGAATTATTAGATGCACCATGCCTCCTAAACGCCTAGTATATATAGTCTTCAATTTGTATATTTTTTGACGCCTCCACGCATCGCACCGTTTATTTATTTCCTATGGCCTAATTTGGGAAGCCTCAACGGAAGGGTAAGGAGAAGGACGATTACGGAGAGACTAGCAGCCATGATAAAGGTAGCCCGTAAGGAAGCAGCGTAGGAATCGATGACTTGTTCGCGGTAGACGGGGTCGAGGGTTGGGATTGCTTTAACTGATTTGCGGACTTCTTCAATGACCTGTATAGATGTCAGCTTCTGGGGATAGAATAATGGAAAGGGTAGACTGAGCGTACCTTGTCTCGATTCGGCCCTGTTACGAACTTAGCGAGGTAGTGAAATAGTGCGTTTTGCAGGACTAGACTACTCGTCGCAACACCAAGCACCATTCCCATCGATCTCCACAGAATCAGCGTACTCGTTACAACGGCCTGTTCGGCTTGTTCCGAGACGGCAAGCACGGCCATGAATGTTGCTGGGAACATGAAGCCCTGGCCCATACTTGTCGGAAGAAGGAAGATTAAGTATGCCCAATCTGGCATCCGCCTTTGCATCAAAGATAGTGCCACTGTTCCCACGAGTATGAGAAATGCACCTGCAACCAACGGAGGTTTGAGATTTTTAGACCAGGTAATGAGGAATCCTGTCGCTGTACCGGCTGTTGATGCAGCGATTGAAGGGACGATCAGGCGGAGTCCGGAGGAAGTTGCTGATTCGAGCAATACGGCTTGGAAATAGAGAGGTATGTTAAAGGTGACTGCGTTGACGATGATTGCACCAATGCTGTTGCTGATAATGAGGCCAGCGCGGGGGTTTTTGATAAGAAGCTTTAGTGGCATGATGGGGAGGTCTACAAAGGTTTCCACCCAGATGAAGAGGGGGAAGCAAATGCCGAAAATAACGAGAGACACTATCACGATTGGGTGGGACCATGGATAAACGTTTCCACCTAGGTTCTGAATCTCCAGTTAGTACTGAAAGAATGCGAGGAAAGGGAAGGAGCGTACCAATCCAAGGATGAGAAAAGTGATGGAGAGTGTTAGGAGACTAGATCCTATGTAATCGAAAACCTTCATTGCTTCCCATAAAGATTTCTTCTGTACGCCGTCTGCCAGGCCAAGATTCTTGGGGACTGTGAAGCATGCGATGCACAGGCAAATTACCAATGCTGGAACCTGGATACCGAACTCCCATCGCCATCCGAGGTGATCTGATGAGTTAGTATTGCAAATTCTAGAGCTTGTTCGAAATCGGGAGCATCCCATGTCTCAAAGCTCCTGAGACAATTACAAGGACATCAAAATTCGTTTTGGTAAGAAAACATACATACCAGCAATCGCGCCACCTAGCGCAGCCCCCAAGGCTGATCCAACGCCGAATATAATGTTGATGTAAGATTGATAGACGCCCCGAATCTCAATTGGTACGAGATCACTTGTAATTATTGAACCCATGGTCATCATTCCTCCAGCCCCGAGACCACATACCGCTCGAGCAATGATGAAACTTATCATACTCTGAGCAAGGGCACACCATACGGTAGATATCAAGAAAACAGCCATGGTGAACACATAAGGCGGTTTCCGTCCAATCGTATCTGATAGCCGCCCGAACAGCGGCTGAAAGCTTGTCGAAGTTAGAAGGAACGCCGTCGATAGCCATGAAGCACTGTTGGAGCTTTCAAAATACGAAGTGATGATTGGATGAGAAGAGACCATGATCGTAGAATCGAAGCAGGCCACGAAGTACGAAACAAGTACCCCTCCAAAAATGAGCCAGAATCTCGTGACGCTTACACCAGCAAGAAACGGTGATTTCGATCCAGATTTGTCCTCCTCTCCTTCGCCAATTACTTCTTCTAGGATGCTGCTGTTTGTGCTAATGAACGATTTGCGTCGACTGCTCGCGTGACTTGATGCTCGATGCTTTGACTTAACTGCGCCGTATCTTCTCGGTCCCCGAAGCATAGCAGTTGCTTGGGATTCTGGTTCAATTCCAAGACCCGTGGTGATGGACTCAGATCTCGAAAGGAGGTTATCGAACTCATTGGCCTCGATGTCTTCATCGGTATCTTCATCGATCAAAGTATCTTCTCGAGAGAATCTACCATGACTTGATCCCTCCAGGGTTGCCGAAAGGAGATTAGTCCGTTCGTTAGCATCTTGGCCATTGTGACTCCCAGAACCGCTCTTTGCTGGAGCAATTGAAGTTGGTGCCATTTTGGGGAACCAGTTTCTTGTGAAACGACGACGAGTATAAAAATTAAAAGGTGGTAGGTAATTCACGACTTATAAAGTCGGATCATCAATGCAACGTGCAAGGTCGGAGTCATCCGGGCAGCAGTGTATCCAAACACCCCTCTGTGACCCCTCAGTGAGCTGGAGATATGCAAAATCCCGTCAATTGGTACGTCGAGATCGGGAAAGAAACGGCTTTGATCTGTGTTGTAAACAAGAGTCTCTTCTGAACAAATTGTAGCAGTGTAGCCCAAGAAGAGGGAGTTCATAAGAGACTAAGAGATGAAGAGAGAAAAATTGAAGCTGTCAAGGATTTCAACAGGTATGAGAGTATTGGTGGGGTCCTACTTTGGAGCTTTACTGGGTTTGGGTGGAAATATTATTATATGTACCTTAGTCAAGGGTGGGTGCATGCTGCTACTGTACTGTAGCAGCGGATATGCCCACCCGAATGCCGCTCAAGTGGATAGATATGTCGAACTTGACATGCATTCCGTGAGGGGTTGCACAGTGGGATGGTATGTAGGCACTTATCATGCATAAGCGCGTCCTTCTCGACTTTAAAGGTTGGATGGGATGGGAAAAGGAGAGGAAAGCATACAATAATAACCTCAAAATATTCTCTATTTCGTACAGTAACAAGTCGGATAAATATTAGTCCGGCCATCAAAACCCCACCCCACCCCTCTGGAAATGTTTCCCCCATTTTTGAATAACTCACCCAGGACGCCTCACGACACTCATTTACTTTCATGTCCTTAGTCACAAACTCACCAATTCATTGATCCTCCTCTCCTCTCCAACTTCTCCCAAGATGCCACAACTTCCCCTCCGAATAGCCGTTCTCGAATGCGGCGCCCCCCTCCCGAAAACTGCCTCAAAATACGGTGGTTATGGCGGCGTCTTCAAAGCCCTCCTAAACTCCGCAGCAGACACACTGTCCCACCCGGTTCTATCCTCCTCTTCCGACCTGGCAATCACCAGTTTCGATGTGGAAAACGCTCAAGTGTACCCCTCACTAGAAGACATAGACGCGATCCTCATCACCGGCTCGAAATTCAATGCGTTTGACAATGATCCTTGGATTGTGAAGCTGGTGGAGTTTGTGCAGGTGATATTGAAGCAGAGGAGGGTGAGGATTATAGGGGTCTGTTTTGGACATCAGATTGTGGGTAGGGCGATGGGGGTTAAGGTGTACAGGAGTGAGGAGGGGTGGGAGGCGAGTGTTACGGCTATGGATTTGACGAAGAGGGGGCAGGAGATTTTTGGGAAGTCTGCATTGGTGAGTTTTCTTTTTCCTTTTCATTTCGAGCAACCCGTAATGAGAGCAGACATGGACTAATCGATTAAGGCATTGCACCAAATGCATAGAGATATTGTATACGAATACCCGGAAGGAGTCGAGGCGCTGGCATATACAGAGAAATGTGCTGTGCAGGGAATGTATGTTTCAAAGAGGTTTATTACGGTACAAGGACACCCGGAGTTTAATGAAGAGATTGTGAGGGAGATTTTGGACACTAGACATACGCTTGGTATCTTTGACGCTGCTACGTATCAAGAAATGCTTGCGAGGGTGGACAAGTACCAAGATGGTGTTGTTGTTGCACAAGCGTTTTTGAGATTTTTGTTGGAGGAATGAGTTATGAAGACATATGATCTGCTGCAGTTGAACATAGACTTGTTATTGAGAGGTAAGACCACATTATAGAACACTCGAATAGCTTTATCTGGTAGAATTGGCATATCTGGGATACTAAGTATAAGACTAGAAATCCGGAAGAGTTTCACTCCTGAAAATCAAATCAGGAAAAGCTTCTCTGGAGCGATGATGGGATTTCAATAAAGCCGACCAGAAAGTGACGCTGAGATTATATACAATAAACCTGTAAATATGCAGCCCAGATCCAAGGCTCTTACAACTCGGTCTTACCTCCGGCAGCAATCAGATCAAGCCATTGAGCAAGCCTAAAACGCATATAATCAGCCACATCATCCAAACTCTTCAAGATCAAACTCACCTATACCCCGCCCTCGCAACCTGCAATTCAATAACCGGCACCGCAGCCTCATAATACGCACCCCCCAACTCCTTCCCTACAATCGCATCTTTCCCCTCGGGCAACACAGCCTGACAAACAAACTGATTCGCCTCCTCGGCCCATTTTATACTCGTGCTTACCGGATCTCTCAGATCTACTCCTTCCAACCAGCTGTCCGCGTCAGTCTTGTAAACGCCGGTCTTGATAGCGGCAGTAAGAGCAGTAGCCCATTTCTCTGCATCGGGAAGAGAATAGCCCCCGACTAGTTTCTCGGGAATGTTGGAGTCCCAGACGTGGTGCAGATTTGTTTGTACGTTGTCGAAGGTCACGAGGATGGAATTCCCTCCTCGATCCAGGTTTTCGTCGTGGAGGGGCTGGTGGATATCTCCTATGAACTAGAACATTTAGTTGGTAGCTATCTCCAGGAACGTTGAAGGGCTCACATGGATGACGAACTATTCCGTGTCAGAATTTGGTTCTAAATTTTGAGATATCTTGGTTTCGCTTACCTTGGCAGCTATATTCCTATTCACGGCATCCAAGTCTGGATCAAGAAGCTGTGTGGTATAATTTAGAATAGCGCCCACAATACACCCCTCCACCGGACAATCTCTCGAATACTTGACCCCACAAGAAGTAGGCGGGTCATCCTCCGCATCGATGAAATGGAACGGAGCTGAGAATCTGCCCGCAGCGGTATATCGGAAAGAATCTGCCCATGTTGCTACACCCGCAAGATAGGAGTCGGTTTGATTGTGCAGAATAGTTTGGAAGAACGATGTGGTGTCTGAGGACACGAAATTGCTGGCGACGTAGGCTACAGTCTCGTGACCGAGAGAACCCCAGGCATATGAGGTTGGGAGGGAGCTCAAGAGATATAAGGCTGTGGTACTGGTGGTACTAGGATGGAACTTCATGTTGATTTAAAGATGAGGTGAGCAAACAGATGGGAGGGAATTATACTCGTAAATGAACTGGAACGCGAGCGCGACAAGATCTTGGACATAATGAGAAGAAGATAAATCAGGGAACCGACTTAGTGAGTAGGTAAACAGAGGTCGCGCATGTGGTCGATCTTGTCGTGATTCGTGAGACCGTGACACCTGTGAAGCTTACCTATGTAGGTATTTGATTGGGTGGGGTGGGTTGACCTAGCCTAGCTTACCCTACTCCTACTGTACCTTAGGGCTGCATGAAGCTGTCGGGACTTGGGGACGCCGCGACATGGCCCGTTGCAGAAGTAGCGTGAGCGTGTCTCTTTTACAGTAATCAAAAGGCGTGGCGTGTCATCCATCCATCCTCTTTCTCACTCTCTCTTATCTAATCAAGAAGCTTTCTCTCTTATCTAATACAGTAAGGAACTGCTGCAAGTGAGGTGTGAAGTGGCAAGATATCGTTGCAGGGCGTGTGTAGTCAGGCAGCACTGCTGCTCATGGAAACTACGACGCCCTGCGAATTTGATGCTACTGTACTATTACATTAACAAAATATCCTTGCTGCTAAGAAGCCTTACAACTGATACACTTGGTGGATGTTAAACCCTATAAATTCTCCCTCTTTTTCTCAAATCTGTCTCTGCAAAAGATCCCCTCATCCAAACTTTACTTTCCACCCTAGCATTCTTCCCCACCAACGCACCACTTGAACAACCTTGAAATAACACAATGACTATGGAAAATCCATCTTGTTTTCTGTACGGGCCCGGAACTGCCAAATTCGAGAACAGCCCATACCCAACCATCACGGATGAACATGATGTCGTTCTGAACATTTCTTTCGTTGGAGTTTGCGGCAGCGATGTAAGCATCGTGTACTTGCACAAAACCATATATTAACTAGAACAGGTTCATTTTTGGAATCATGGGGGAATCGTAAATAAAGTTGACCCCTCACGCCCGCTGATCATGGGTCATGAAGCATCCGGAGTCGTCTGGGAAATAGGTAACGCAGTGACTTCCCTCAAGAAAGGCGATAGAGTGGCCATTGAACCTGGCTTCCCCTGTCGTCGGTGCAAGAACTGTAAATCTGGACGCTACAACCTGTGTCCTCAGATGACCTTTGCAGCGGACCCACCCTATTCGCATGGGACACTCAGAAAATACTACAAAATCCCAGAGGACTTTTGCTACAAACTGCCAGACTTCGTGGCCTTGGATGAAGGCGTGCTTGTGGAGCCATTGTCTGTTGCTGTACATGCTTCCCGACAGGCCGATATCAAAGTTGGACAAGACGTGGTTGTCTTCGGAGCTGGCACTGTCGGGGTGCTTTGTGCAGCTGTTGCAAAAGCTATGGGGGCAAGGAAGATTATCTCGGTGGACGTCAATGCCCCCAGGCTGGAATTTGCTACCGATTTTGCGGCGACGGGTTCCTATCTACCAGCACGCGAGGAATCACTTGAAGAGACAGTACGAAAGATCAAAGATGTTCACGCTCTGGACGAAGGTGCAAACGTAGTTCTCGAAGCCACCGGAGCGGAAATTTGTATCGATGTCGGCATCCAGGTTCTACGGCGTGGCGGGACATTTATCCAGGTTGGACATGGAAAGTCTAAGGTCCAGTTTCCCATTGAGGCACTGTCTGAGAAGGAGATCAATCTGAAAGGCAGCTTTCGCTATGGAGCTGGTGATTACGAATTGGCGATGCATCTTTTGGATTCGAAAAAGGTTGCGGTCAAGGACCTGATTACGGGCGTGTTTCCTTTTGAAGAAGCAACTCAAGCGTGGGAGTGCACGAAGAGTGGTCAAGGTATCAAGACTCTCATCCGTGGAGCCACTTGAATTTGTCCAGTTGTTAAAATCTTGAATAAGGTGCATTAACGCATTCAAAGGCATGCCCCTTTTTAGCGACAGAAAACGAAATTTGAGGGGGCTTTCCCTACATAAGAGCTGCTCTTGTATTAAATGGGAATGCACTTATCGAAAACGAATCGTTTCTGGTATTCACGGTGTACAACTCAAGCGGAATCAGCGCTTCCTGATAGTGAAACATCTCAGTCAAACGGCGTAGCTGGAACATCCTATTCTCTTCAGGTTGTCACGGGACCAGACAGATATTCTTAAAATCTTATGATGGCTATTTGTTACACTCTAGGTCCAGCAGCAACTGGAAGTACCTCACCCTTACACACTCCAAATCCCACATTCCCAAGTCCATCTCTCCCTCGTGTTTGAGCCTTGAACGTTATGGTATCTCCGATTTTATTGACCGAGACAACTACGAAGAGGAAAGCTAGAAGTACAGAACCAGGAAGTTTGGAACAACCCCAATGGCACGGACAAAGTCTATAAGCGAGTCTTTAGCGCGTTAATCCATATGTTCCGGTTCATTCGTGAATATAGGTAGCCAGTTTAGTCATGAATATACGCTAAAATTTACGATTGAACTGCATGGATGAGTGAACTAGTTTATTCATGAATTATAGTCGTTTATACATAAATCACCCTGGTTCATGAATGAACCGGAACACATAACATAACAGATGAATGGATCTCTTTGTGGATTGGTGGTACGAAAACAGCGATTCGAATAGGCTCTCTATAAATCGACAAGTGATGTCGATTTCTAATTTCGGTGCCCCGCGCTATATCACTATTCTCACTCCCCGCAGCCCCATGTAGGAGATCGACAGCTAATGGCGGGGTAGATAAGGTAGATGGCCCGCAGATGGCCCGTATCAGATGTAAGATTTAACTATACCAAAAATACAATAACTCTTGTTCGTTTTCGGATATTTCGCAGAGTAGAAGCTCAATAATCATCGACTGTCTTCAAACTAACAAAGAACATGGACAACTCGCTATATAAAATACCTACCAAAGACCTCTTCAAGCTTCAGAATCGCACAATATTAGGTAGCCCACTCACTTCTTTCAAAGTTCGAGAAAAAACTAATCCAAAGCAGTATCAGGTGGACTCGGAGGAGTTGGATCCCCCTTGATAATTTCGATTCTAGAATCAGGAGCCGATGTCATTTGTCTCGACCTCCCAGAACACCCACAGGATCTAGGTAATTCTTCCGACCCCAGTCACTCTCCAATGGTAATTCACGTGGCAGCACAGAACGCTTCCATAACGTTGCAAGTGAAAATAGAGCTCGGTATTTCTACTTCTCTGTCAACGTCACAAATGCGGATCAAGTCTCCAAAACCATGGAGCAGGCGGTAAAGGGGCTGCGTTATCCATTACGTGGCGTGGTTACCACAGCCGGTATATCGGGAGAATTTGACGCTGTGGACTATCCACCTGAGGACTTCCGACGGTTGTTTGACCTGAATGTGATGGGCACGTTTCTCGTAGTTCAAGCAGCAGCAAGGGTAATGCGGGAGCAGAAAACAGCTGGGAGTGTGGTTCTGATTGCTAGTATGAGTGGCACTGTTGCAAACAAGGTACGTATAACTCTCAATCTAAAGTAAATCAAGCGTCATTTACTAAGTTGAGGGAAAGGGAGTCAATACTGCAGCATATAACTCTTCGAAAGCCGCTGTGCAGCAACTTGCTCGCTCCCTTGCCGCGGAATGGGGAAATCAAACCGACAGCCCACCTATCAGGGTTAATTCAATCAGTCCGGGTTACATCTTCACTCGATTGACTGTCGGTGCTCTGTTACGCCCAGAAGTTAAAGCACAGTGGCTGGATGGGAGTATGCTAGGAAGGTTCTCTCATCCAGAGGAGTACCGGGCGCCGATTCTGTTTATGTTGAGTGACGGGAGTAGTTTCATGACCGGTGCGGACTTGAGATGTGACGGAGGCCATACTGCGTGGTAACTAGAAGTAAAAAGCTGAGTCGAGGGCTTAAATTATCTCGTTAGACAATAGATTTTTAGAGGCCAAGTGCTTCTTCCAGAAAACTCCCTGATTGAAGCGAGGTGATCATTTGCCCCGTGTCTTGACTTCTATGTTGGTACAAGAAGTGGTCATTCACAGCGCTGCTCCTTCACAGTGAATAAGTGTCTCAAAATGGTCCCAAATAGGAAATTTATATGTTTTGCACTTCGTGTCGAAGTTGACAATTTCTGTTCTCATATTTGCATTCACAATTTCACGTTCACATTCACCATGCAACCGGGCCGAGAATAGGGTAAAGTAGTGGGTTTATATAATTGAATAAAAGTTAATCACAATACATCAAATGTGTAATGGTGTACTGGTCTAGGGTTCTGCAAAATCTAATCGTCGAGCTTGCTCGGGGGTGTCCTGACCTAATTTCTTTTTTGTATTTGCCCCCTTTTTGTTGACCATCATACACATAGCATAATAACACCTCTAGAAACACTCATATTTAAGATACATTTTGAAGAGATATCTTGTTTCATTCCTGCTCTTGAAGCCCACCACTACCTTTACTCAGAGGAAGGAAAGCGTGACGTCCTTTAAAACTTCAAACACAGGAGTTAAAACCAATTTTAAGTCAGAGCTGACAGGTCTAAAGAATCCCATCCAATTAATTTATGCTTAGGCTAGCTATGAATTTCTTGTATTAATACATGCATAAAGCATTTTTCTCGGTAGTAAACAAATCATACACAGTTTTAAAACATTTGGTGGCATTTTGAATTAGCGATTGTGATTCAGGGGCTTTAGCGAGAACGTTGGATTACAACGCTGCTGCTGCATGCCTCTATTGAATATCCCTAAAGTATAGCTAAGTGAGATACCAGGCTTATCAGAGTTTGTCCGCTTTCCCTCCCGGGTGCTGCAATGGAATCAGCGGTCAGGTGTATCGCATTCACAAAACAGTCCAACCGGAGTCCTTCAATCGCGAGAGTCATTGGAATTGACAGCTGGTAATTTTCAATCACAGCCGCTATGAAGTTGAATAACATTCCCCGCAGCTGTGTATCTAGGTATTTAAGAACCAGATTTCTTCCCCAGTAAAGATTAAAATTCTCTCTACAGATACGCAAAAATTTCAAATTGCAGATCTAATCAATACTATGCGTCCGTCACAAAATCCATCTGGATCTAACTCTCGTTGGGCAAGAGGATTACCGTCCTCGAGGCTCGATGCGAATGCCTACTTCCGCAGCGAAGCAAGAAGGCTTGCACCTAATCCCCGTCAAGGTTTATCTAATATGGACGACCTATACCAGCGAATGGACTTGGGGGGTTCGGGAAACAGCTTCCCCGCTTCATCTCAGCGTCAACCATGTGCTAGCACCTCTTCCCACCTTCCCCTACTCGAACATATGGGCACCACTCGTCTTCCTTTACTCGATCATACGAGAACCTCGCATCCAACACAGAGACCTACTGGTCACTCAGGTGAATCCAGTCGGAGATCCGATTCCGAACACAATACACGAATGGCCACACGACAAACACAATACCAGCAGCTTCCATTGCAAGACCAGCAAGACCAGGAACAGTGGGCGCAAAATCAGTTGTCACAAAGCTGGGATAAGTGTGATCAGGGATACCAGTGGATTAGAGATATTGGGGGTTATCGATGTTCAGGGGGGTCTCATTTTGTAACTGATGAGTTGGTTGCTGAGGGGAAAGGCTATTACTTTCAGAAGACTACAACACAACGTGGGGCTTTTTATTCAACTGCTTGGACTGGACCACTTGATCGGAGAACTCACCACACAGTCTTGAATTACCTCAAGTACCAACACCCCCCCAATTCGTTTGCTACGAGGGGATGGAGACCTTAGTGACGACGATGATGAATTCCGGAATAAGCTGTGGCTTCTGAATCAGTGGGCTTTTATGTCCCCCAACTAGGGCTAGCCAAATACATCGTTAGATTTTCAAGATTGTGTTTTTGTTTCATGCGTGAGACTTACTTCATGTTTTCGATTAGTGTTCTATAATAGAAGCCCTCGTGCTGAATGTAATCGTCCACTGAATTCTGCTTCGCATTCGCTACAACCAACTGTTAAGAAACGGCACTCATTCCGCACAACAAATTATAAGTTCATGTCGCCTTTCTCTTTTGAACCAAGAGACGCCCTCAGAGTAGCCGTGTAGGTGTCATATATTAGAAGTCTTAAGCGGTAGGTAAAAGCCTAACAATGCTTAAAATTCGGGGAATCCTAGGGTTTCTGTCATTTACATGGCAGTTGCATTATGAATACCGTGTCAACCCCCTTTGAACTTTACTTTGCACTTTCATAATATCATGCATGTCTTGCTAGAGCTAACTTGTACGGGGAGCTCTAATTTCATATCTATAGCTTGGTCTGATTGTTGCTTTCCTACCCGACATTGGATTCTGGCATGAAAGGGTTATCCTGTCGACTGTATGTAGTTTGAGTTCTTATTATAGACAGACTACAAGTACATGGCCGCCACAAATATCAACAAAAGCATAGAGAGTATTCTCGCAATCCATCCATTCTCTCAAATATGCCAATTCAACCACCCTGCTAAATGACAACCATTTCAAAGAACATTAAGCGCACATCCCAGAGCTGCAGCTAGACTAGCCACGATTCCCACTGGCTTCGACCCCACAGCCTCAGACACAGCGGAATACGTCGCAACAGGTACTTCCGTCGCAGTCGCAGTTCCAGCCGCCGAGCTCATCGTAGCATTTGCGCTCGGCGAGCTGACCAAAAACCAATCCGCAGCTACAGGCTCACCCAATTCCGCCTCATCTACAAACTTGGTGAGATTGAATCCGACACGGTTGAACACCGATGCAGTCAGGTTGGCGAAGAAAGGGGCATAGTCTGTGGGGACGGCGAAGTCGGAGGGTTGCTGGTAGAGAAAGACGCCGTAGGTATGAGTCTGGCCTGCTGGGGGTCCGGGAGGGACATACGGTGCCAGGACCGTGGTAGTGGAGTTGAGTGCTTTGATGCCAGAGAGGCCGGGCAGGAGCCAGTGGAGGAGAGTGGTGTTTGAGCCATTGTTTTGGATGCTTAGGTCGATCAGGAATGCTATGTATGAGGTTGATTGCGAGCTGAGTAGGCTGAGAATTGGTGCGTTGGTTAGACCTGTGAATGGGCTATGTTAGGAGTGGACTGGTGGATGTTTAATGAGTTTGAGACTGACTGGTTCCTGGAACTGTTATTCCGGCAGGTGTGATCTTGAATGCTTCGTAGGTGACATCTAGGTGGGTTGAGATTGCTGGTGTAAAGCTTGGGGGTGTCTGAGCAGCGGTCGTCTCGAAAACAGTTGCTGCAATGCAGAGGCTCAACAATGTTTTGATCTGGGTACTATACATTTTAATGTATAATTGAATGCATTTGGGGGGGGGGGGGACGTTAAATAGATGACTAGTATATGAAAGTCTCAGTGGAGTAGTTGGAAAGTATACACGTTCAAATGTCCTTAAACATATACAAAGTGAGGAATATCTTAATATGGAACCAGTAAGTGTTATATATATTGTGGTCTCAACTCTATAGAAGGGACCGACTTTTTCGAATACGAAATACGATTTGTAAGTTACCAATCCCGGACTGCAGTACCCTGGCACCACCAGTACCTTGGCCTTTGGGTCGAATAGCAAGGATTAGGTCCCATCAGTACGTAAAGCGACCATTCATCAAGAGGTCTTGACACTATCCACACTGCTATTAAACACTCCACTTTCTATGATGACAGGATGGGGGGTCGAAGTTAAGAAACGGATTTAAGCATAACTGCACGCAGATGCGGACTTTGTGTCTTTTCAACCTTTGATCTAATAACAAACCCCATGAAATTTAAACGCGAAGGATGCCAAGAGGTCTTGGTATTTATTGACATAAATTTAATTGCATCCAAATGTATTTGTTTAGCCGCAGTTTTGAGTAGTCGCCAACTTGGCTTGCGGACAGACACGCTCACACGAATAGTCTAACTTAAGTTGTGGTTGTGGGTTAGGTTAGGATCAAGAGAAAAGAGGCTCTTTTGATTTCGAAAACGCTAGTCCATTAACGGTATATGCTCACAAGTTCATGAAAAAGGGCCCCGCCTTGAATAATTTAACTTAGGAATTAGATAGATTGGATGAATATTACTAGTCATATAGAAATCTTCAACCTCTAAACCTCGCTACCATAGTACAGTACTTCCAAGTATAGCATAGCAAATCAAAGATTTAGGGATGACAAGAGACTCAATTCATACCTAGCTAGTAGAAGTGAGGCCCTAGAACACGCCGAAGCAAGTATCACGTGGTATCTAGTTCCTCAAAGCACCAGCTCGCAACACACCGACCCTTACTCCATACCCCCGTCATATACTACGCATAATTCAATAGTACTTCCACCCTACCCCTAAGCCAGCAGCGCAACCGCACAATAACCAAGACAGAAAAGCAAAACGCCAGATAATGCATGCTCACGTGAGCTAAACAGCACAAGGCCATCCCCCATCCAATAAACTCACAAACAGGGCCGAGCTAGTTGCAAAGCCAGTTTCGATCCCAATTCTAAGGTAAAGAAAAGAGAAGAAAGTACAATCCAGTATAGTGTTTAAGTAAATAATAATCATAGGTGAGGAAGGAGATAGTTTACTGAGGAAGGACAAGTAAACAGAGTAGGCAAGTCCAAAAAAGTTGGTTATTTAGTTCATATTTCCGAGTAAATTGAAGTAATCAAGAAGTATGAGGTGATTAGGAGGAGCATTAGAATGCTACGGTTAGGTAGTAAGAGGAGGGAAGGTTTGGCGGGGAGGAGAGGAGACGAGACGAGAGTACCTAGTTGGGTAATTTCTGTAGTGGAGAGGAGACGGGAGAACCTAGGTAGGTAATTTTTGTAGTGGGGAGGGCGGAGGGAGGTAAAAGAAACCGCAGCTCGCTTAGAAGAGGGGAAGCGATGGATAAAAGGAAAAAGGGAAGAAATGAGCGCTGGGGACCCAACGCTATGATCTTCGACGCTAGGAAATGCACGTAAGCATAGCCGCGCCGCTCAGAAGTGTACATGAGAAGAGTGGATAACAGTATGCATGTATGTATGCATGTATGTATGTATACCGAGTAGTATAGTAGTTCGATCCGTACTGTCAAAGGGTATGAACAGTAAGAGGGGAATATCTTGGTCTTGTCTAATAACACGCTTTCTTTCCAAGGCCAAAGCCAATTCAGGTCTAAACTCCATCGTATCCAATCTATCAATCACAAACTTTCCCGGACGACCTTATCCACAGCCTTGGCAAAGTAATCTACGTTACCTGTATTCAGTCCCGCCATACTGATGCGTCCATTCTTGGTCATGTAGACGTGAGCCACATCTCTCAACTTCAGAACCTGTGCCTCGCTCAGCCCGGTAAATGAGAACATACCAATCTGATCCGTGATATGATTCCAGGTACCCGGTGTATCCAACTCCTCGAGCTTACTACGCAGTGCCTTCCTCATGGTAATGATTCTCCCAGACATAGTCCTCAAGTTATCCTCCCACTCTGTAAACAACGCTTCGTCATTCATCACCAGCCCCGCAATCCGCGCGCCGTACGCCGGTGGATTCGAGATCTCGGAGCGTTGAAGCACAGTAAGTTGAGAAGCAATGCGCCCAATGGTCTTTTGTGAGTCTGCGCCGGGACCGGTAACGAAATGGAAGCAGCCTGCGCGCTCACCATACAAGCCGAAGTTCTTGGCAAAGGACTGCGCGATACACATCTCAAACCCTTGCTCCACGAAATATCTGACTGCCCAGGCGTCCTTGGCTAGATCCCCAGATGCGAAGCCTTGGTATGCGCAGTCGAAAAATGGGAAGTGTTCTTTTTGTTTCAGCAGCACGGCGAGTTCTTTCCACTGGTCTTGTGTAGGATCTACGCCCGTGGGGTTATGGGCGCAGGCATGTAGGAGGATCACGCTGCGATCGGGCGCATCAGCGATAGCATTCTTCATGCCATCAAAATCCAGGCCCTTTGTAGATTTCGAAAAGTACGGGTAGGTGGCGATGGGGATGTGGATATTGTTGAAGATCTGGTTGTGGTTGGCCCATGTTGGATTGCTGAAGTAGACGGTGGGCGTGCCTGGGTAGAATTTCTTGATGAACAAGCCACCAAGATGGACGGCGCCGGTGCCGGAGATGGTTTGTATGCTGCAGGCGCGCTTTTCGGTGAGAGCTGGGGAATCGGCGCCCAGGATCAGCTTTGCTGCGCCAGAGGTAAAGGATTGAAGACCGGCGATCGGGAGGTATTCGTGGTTAAGGCTGGGGTCTGAATGGAGGATGTCGTCTGCCTGGGGTCATACATTTAGCTAGAGAACATGGGTATTATTCTGGTAGATATACCTTTTTGACAACGGGAAGAACCCATGGCTTTGCATTGTTATCTCGGTATGCGCCAATGCCCAAATCTACTTTTTGGTCCGAGGTGTCAGCTCTGTAAGCTGCCATTAACCCGAACAGTGGATCTTCTGGAGCTTGAGGCACAGCCTCAGCTGGGAAACTGGTTGATGCAAAGGAAGACATGTGGCCGGCGATGCTTTGCAATCGGAGGTTTGGAGGGGAAGAAGAAGATGTTGTTGGTGGTGGTGTTGAGTTTATAGGATGTAAAGAGGAATGTGGGGTGTTATCGTTTCTGATGGAAGTTTGTGGAGACATGATTTCCTTATACTCGTTCTATCGATCGTATAGATACTTTGCGGGGTTGTGATTCCGTCCGGAAGCTTGGCCGGAATTCTGGGATTGGACTAAGCACCCGCAACCCAATGCAGGGCAACCCAGTACTGTGCCATGGGCGAATGGCTCTTTAAGTGCTCACATCTGTGCTGGTCCTCTTTTAGTGCGCCGAGGTAATCATTACCTAGAGTATCGGGACAGCTACCACTTATACCATGATGATGCGACCAAAGGCAGGTCACACGTCGTCTGAGGGGTACGACGACGGAGTGTAGAAGTTGATCGCGCGAGCATGTGCATGAACACACCCGGGGAATTACGGGGGAATGTGGAGGTACCGTTCCTGCAGCAGGATACACCGGCTTCACATGAAAAAAAGCAGTTATATTATCCAGCAATCATACTTCGTGGTTTCATTGGCTGCGCTTTCATTGGACATGGGAAATGGTATGGTAGAGGTGGTACGAGATACGAGTCTACGAGTATCGAATTCAGAACACCAGATCCCATGCCACCAAAAAGAGACTAAATGAGCAGGATGCATAGAAGACGTACTTGGCCGTCGACTTTCGCTCCGCAGCTTTCTTCAGTTGTTTATTTCCACCCCCAACATTCTCTGCTGTAAAAAATGAATCTGATACCAGTTGGTCGATATGCGCGGATTGTACTGCAAGATTGTTCACCAGTTGCGTCTGCAGCTCTGATATTTCGACCAAAGACTTTTCCGCCGTCCTGTATATACATTAAAACAAGAGCTGACCCATAGGTCCTGAATTCAACATACCTGACTTGATCCAAAGTGCTCTCGTAATGCTTCAGCATATCCTGATTCTGCTTCTCAAACATCTGAATCTGCTCCGGACTCAACTCCTCTGGCTGGTGCGCTTGCGTCTCTAAATGGGCCGAGCTACTCCCCTTGTATTTCGAAGGAGGTACTGGCGCATCTTCAAACCCACCAAAATCTGGCATAGCACCTGGCCTAGCATTTGCCAATACACCCCTATTCTTTTCCACCTCCCGCAATATCCTTTTCTCCATCATCGATGCTTGGAAGCTCCCGCACTCCTGTAGCTTCTGCCGTAGATACCATAACACGCTCTCTCGATGCCCACTAATGGCATTTGCCCTTGACTCTTCCAGCTCTTGCTCGTATGACTTTGATTGTGCAGCCCCGCCAGCCGCCCAACTCCCCAAAGCTCCTAATCCTAATCGTGCATATTTCTTGCGCGTGAGAGTTGTCTCGGTGTTCTGTCGTAGCTGTTCTGCATCTGCCAAATTCCGGATTCCAGCGTTCAGCTCTCGTAGTAATTGTTTTGTCTGGGCGTCAACTTCCTCCCGCTGACGATCCGTCATGTATTTCCATTGTCGGTCTTTGGAGTTTGTGCGCCTGGGGGGAGCCGCTGTAGAAAGGTAGGATTGTCGTATTTCTCGGAGGTAGGAATTGAGAGAGGCTATATGCGCGTTCTGTCCAAGTCAGTGACGCCATGTAGACGGTATAGGAGACGCCTACTATCCGGTATGCTTCCTTTAAGAATCCATCGATACTCTGGAGAGTCAAAGAGGGATCCGCAGTTGGTGGAGCATTATGGCTCTTAAGAAGCTCGTTGAAGATAGGCGTAAGGTCCGTCATGGCATCGCGGTTTTGTGGATTGGGTGTTTGAGCATATGGTCGTTGGCCCTAATGATAGTCTCCGCCTCAGCTAGGTACTTGATTGATTGCTGGGTTGGGTAATAAGTATTATTATTTCACAGACTTGGAATAATCAAGAGTTGGAGCTTTCTGGCCAAATCTTGGTAAATAATGTGGCTCATGTGTGGCTGATGAACCTTACGTAAATCTATGGGAAGAGCCGCGGCGCCTCGTCATTCTCAGTTTATTCCCTTGTATATGATATAAAATCTTCAAGTTATTATATAACAATATCAACAATACTTCAATCTTGCTACTATTCATATCCCCTTCGGCCCCCAACCGACGATGGTGTGTTTCTTCCCTCCCTTCCATGGTACATGATACCATGCATGGCAATGCATCTATTCGATTCACCGTATCTTTCGGAGCTCCTTCAACTATCTTAGCTTCTGGGTGTCCGATAGCGCTTGCAATCATTTGAATCGGCATCTTCTTCCGGAGTTGTTGGCTGCTCGGTCCGTTGAATGGACGGCAATAAGTGGTAATAAGGCTCGAAAGTGGGGATGTTGCACCTACTTTTCATCTGCTTCAACTTACACATATAGCTATCGTGGGTACTCTTTCGCATTCCCTGATCCTTAAGTTTTGTTTCCTTTTCACTGTCCAATCTTTCTCTCTACGTTCAGTTTCTGTTTTTTGCCTTTCTGTCAGTCAGTGTGGGTTGTTAAATACCGACTCGCTTTCCGCCATGGCTCAAGATGGAGCTCTGAAAGATGCGGAGAAAGCAGAGGAAGTAGGAGTAGATGCGAGTTTGCCAGGTGCCATCATCCTAGAAGAAGCCGCAGAAACATCAGGAACCTCACATACTTCCTCACTACATGCAGACAACCCTGAAGATGGTGGACCCGATCTCGAGCAGTTGGCAGCTGTCACAACCGGACCTCCATACTCGTCCTTTAGCACGGGGCAGAAACGATATATTGTTCTCATGGTCACTTGGGCTGCGTTTGTCAGTCCGACTAGCGCAAACATATATTTCCCAGCTCTGAATCCGCTCAAACAAGATCTAGGCGTCTCAACCACCCTGATCAATTTAACCCTCACATCCTACATGATCTTCCAAGGATTGGCTCCAACAATTTTTGGTGATTTAGCAGACATGGCAGGGCGAAGACCCACATATATATTAGCATTTATCATCTACCTAGGTGCCAACATCGGCCTCGCTCTACAAAATAGCTATGCCGCTCTCTTCATCCTCCGGTGTCTGCAAAGTACGGGAAGCAGTGGTGCAATTGCGTTGGGATATGGCGTTGTCGCCGACATTTCCTCCAGTGCTGAGCGCGGGAAATACATGGGTATTGTGGGAGCAGGAACAATGATGGGCCCCGCCATTGGTCCAGTTATTGGAGGTATTCTTACCCAGTTTCTGGGATGGAGATCTATATTCTGGTTTCTCGTCATCCTCGCTGGAGGATTCCTCGTACCATTCGTTCTGACGGTGCCCGAAACCGGCCGGAATGTTGTCGGGAATGGTTCTATACCACCTCAGGGCTGGAACATGACTGTGCTTGCGTGGTTCCGCTTACGAAAAGAATTGAAGTCGGTCGATGAACTAACAAGATCAGTGACTGCTGAAGATCGTCGGAGCCAGCAAGCAGCACTTGCGAAACGTCGAAAGCTGCGTTTTCCCAACCCGCTAAAGACCATCTATATAATCATGGAAAAGGATATGGCCGCTGTCCTCTTTTACAACGCCTTGATCTATACAGCCTTCTACGACATGATATCATCCATTCCACAACTGTTTGAAGAGATATACGGCTTCAACGATCTCCAAATCGGCCTTTGTTATATTCCCTTTGGCGCTGGCTGTGCTCTTGCAAGTTTCATCAATGGACGAATGCTGGACCGGAATTACAAGAGAGTAGCAAGACAAATCGGCTTCACCATTGACCGGAAGCACGGTGACGATTTAAGACACTTCCCTATTGAGCGAGCACGACTAGAACTCATCTGGCCGCTACTCGGTTTCGGTCTTTCCTGCTACCTATGCTATGGCTGGGTGTTAGAGCAAAACACAAACCTCGCAGCTCCTCTGGTCTTGCAATTCCTCATCGGGCTTACGATCAATGGATCATTCAACATCTTGAGCACATTGGTCGTTGATCTCTACCCGCAAAGTCCATCTACAGCTACGGCAGCCAACAATCTAGTCAGATGTTTGATGGGTGCTGGCGGAACCGCGATCGTCAATATCATGATCGATGCCATGGGACGAGGCTGGTGTTATACATTAATTGCACTGGTCTGTATTGCTGCTAGCCCTCTGCTGTGGATTGAGCTGAAGTGGGGGCCGGGATGGAGGGAAGAACGCCGCGTTAGGATGGATAAGGCTGCAGAGGATCAGAAGAGGGCTGAGATGGAGCTGGAGGAGGATCCGAATATAAGTCCGGCAAATTAAACGGAAATGAAAGTGGAAGAGCAACAGAGTAGGAAGGTATAGGCGTCGTGGAATGAATGACTGGGTTGCATTGCATGGTGTTTGGCATCATACCCGGGGTCTGCATGCTGGAGTTTTGCCATTTTTAATATAAAATCGTGATAATTTAAGAAGCTCTTTGATCTATATCGGTATTATGCCAAGTGAAAAAAGCCCGTATAGGAAGTTATATGCAGATATATACTCTTCAACTGACTAATCGGGGGTCCGAGGCCACCAGTGGTTGCCAAAATTCTGTGCGCACCCCTGATTTTTAGCGAAAATACACTAAAAATACAGCAAATTCAGCTACTTTGCAAAAATATAAATTGCTAATCTTCTTATAAATAATCTTAAAATTAAAGCGTATGATTTCAAATAA